GTGAGTCGAGTCGAGTCAAGTCTCATACGATGGTCTTTGCTGGCAACATGGGCGAGAACGGGGAATTTGGTGTTGGCTCCAGTTTATCTTCCTAGTTGTCCTCTCGTCTTCTAACGACGACTTCTCTGTCGACAGACCCATCTACTCCCTTATCCTCGGGACAAAGACGATGATCGTGCTGTCTTCCGACCAGGCGGTCAAGGACTTGCTGGATAAGCGGAGTGGCATTTACTCGGATCGACCTGACATGTTTATCGGCCAGAAGATTGCCAGCGGGAATCTGCGGCTCGTCGTCATGGTAGGCATGGCACTATGCTAGAATCAACGTGAACGGGATTTTGATTCAATCTGCAGAGATATGGCGATACGTGGCGCATGATTCATCGGATCGTCCACAACATCCTCAACATCAAGGCTGCCGTCACCTACGTGCCTTACCAAGACCTGGAGAACAAGGTGCTGATGGACGGCCTGCTGGACACCCCCGAAGAGTTCCTGAACCATATTCGCCGTTTCAGCTACTCGCTGGCCACGCAGATGATTTTCGGCTTCCGATGTCCAGATATCAAGGACCGACATCTCCAGCAACTATTCTGGGTACGTATGCCTCAGTTTGCTCCTTAGTTCGCTGGGCCTCCGTGTGGAAAAGCTGACTCCCTTTGCGATGACCAGAGCTTTGAGCGTTGGGGAGAGCTGGCCGGTAGCGCCAGTGCGCAGATCGTCGACCTCTTTCCCATCCTACAAAAACTCCCAAAAGCTCTGGCGCCGAACGTCAGGTATGCGGAGAAATTGCACAAGATTGAAAAAGATCTCTATCTGGGCCATTGGATGCGGGCGAAACGGGGACTCGAGAATGGTACTGGTCTGGTAAGTCTACACTACACAATTCTCTCCCACATCATATCACGTCCGATAACGACCGAGGTACTATTCAAGGGTGAGTTGCTGACAGTGCCTCGACTTAGCCATGCTTTTGCAACGACGTGCTCCGCATCCAGCAGAAGGAAGGGTTCTCCGACGACGCCGCATGCTACATGAGCGGCTCGCTCCTCGAAGCGGGTTCGGACACCACATCGTCGACTCTATACGGGTTCATCCAGGCTATGATCATATGGCCCGATGTACAGAAAAAGGCGCAAGAAGAGATCGATCGCGTTGTGGGAGACCACCGTCTACCGACGATGGACGACTACGACCAGCTCCCCTATATTCGAAGCTGCATCAAGGAGAGTTTGAGGTGGATGCCGACAATCATTCTCGGAGTACCTCATGCGGTCATGAGGGATGATACGTATGGTCCTTATACCATTCCAAAGGGTGCATCGGTTATCAATAATGTCTGGTGTGTGCTCTTTCTTCTTCTCGGCCCCTGATACGGAAATACTTTGTCTCCAAGGCTAGCTACTAACCATTCTTTCCCCACTGGTAGGTCAATCCACATGGATCCCAAGAGAAGCCCGGAACCCCGTCGCTTCAACCCGGACCGCTTCAAAGACGACCACACCACCTTGTACCAATCGGCAAATGGCGACCCTGCCAAACGGGACAACTTCAACTTTGGCGCAGGCCGCCGCCTCTGCCAGGGGATCCATATCGCCGAGCGGTCGCTATTCCTCGGCATCTCCCGCCTTCTCTGGGGCTTCGAGCTCTCCAAGCCGCTAGACAAGAACGGCGTGCCCATCACGCCCGACATCGACGACCTCGTGGGCGGGATCACCGTGCAACCGCGAGACTATCAGGCCGTCTTCAAGCCGCGGTCTCCCGAGAAGGTCAAGATTATCCGTGACGCCGCCCGCGAGGCTCAGAGCTTGCTCGACCCCGAGACGAAACAGTGGAGAAAAGTGCCTGAGGGGATGGCGCTGAGTACGTGGATGCCGGAGAAGGTTGAGGTGTAGTGGTTGGTGGTTCTGGATCGATGGAGTTTAGGGAGAACCAAGGTCTACAGAGCTATACGCCAAAGTAATCGCCTAGGAGATGCTTGAAGGGAGCAAAAGTGTGCGATACTGGGCAAAGTTGTCTTTCATCTTGAGGCCCAAGGCTGGACTCCTGGCGACTGAGTCCACATGTCGTGTCGGAGAAATGTTGATCCGGTATATCTAACTCCGTACCTCGAGGTTGTTACTTGACCCCTCCAGCATTTTCATCTTCTTCTCATAATTTAGAAGGACATTCCTTGCAAAGTCAATCTCTCTTGTGGACTGCCATGTTCAAAACACTCGGCGCACATTTTTCAACAGCTTACAGTAGATCTTTGACGATCTGTGTTCAGCATTCCCTTGGCCTGGCTTGACCCCTGAAATCTCAATCCTGAAATTCCGTGGCCCCCAGCATTCCACGGACGAGGCAAACATCTCCTCTTCCATGGCGAAACGTCACTGTCGAGCTTGGCTTGCTGCGTAGATGGATCTTTGCTATGACTCATTCCTTTGTTTGAGTGTCTGTGAGGGGGGCTGTTTTGGCTATCCTGAAATGAAATGAAATGGGACGAACTGAACTCTTGGACTTGGCCAGGGTCACTATCTCTGGCTGTCAACAACACCGGGATTTAAACTTACCACGATTACATCCACCGCTGGCTATATACCAGCTCTTGGCAACATATCCTGGAATGGTCTGAAGATGGCCATGGCTAGAACCTCAACCACAGTTAGAGGAAGAAGTCTACACCGACATGCTTGTCAGTATCTATTCACGTTGTTATACCCAATGCTATTAGACTGTCGACGCGTATGGTGGGACGCAACACGCATTGAATGCGAAACGCGGCCCTGGCACAGATCTTGTACACCACCATCTACATTCCACAGTCTGGTTAGAGCAGAGCCGCCGTGCATGCTGCCATTCGGGACAAATGCCTCCCGCAATGACGATTCCTCCTAGTTCACAGGCCACCATGTGGTCAATGTCCACGGGAAGTCCTGTCAGAGCTTCATTCCTTCCCAGCGAGCTCCATGGATATAAATTGGACATGCTGCGCGACTACATCTTCTTTCCCCTTCATTCGGTTCTTTACTCATTTCACCGCTAAAAAAAAGTCCGGCACAACGCTAAAATGCACTCCCTCTCCCAGTCCTTCGCTGTTTTGACCGCTGTGATCCCCCTTGTCCTGGGCCAGGGGGCTACTGAAGTAACCACGTCTACCCTGGAACGGACTTTCACGGCCTATGCAACCTCTCAACCCGCGAGCGTGTCTACTATCCACGTCACCAAAATCCTCGACACGACTACTCTAACAAGCACGTCGAGGGTGACCACAACGAGCCCCATTCGATTCACAACCGTCGTTCCTTATACTTACTTGTCGACTGTCAACGTGACAAGCACTTATCGGGCAACGTAAGTTGGCTCTCTCACTAACAAATACTCAGGCTGACTGGGTACAGAACCGATGTCTTCACCAGCACTTCCACCAGCACCGAGTATGACATACAGAACCGCACGTCCACCTCGTATATCAACGTCACGGCGACCGCAAACACTACGGTTATGACCGAGAGTCTTGTCACCGTGCCCACTCCGAGTAGTTTTGTCCCTGTAGAAGAGTCTTCGGGGGATGAGGACTACGATGGGACCGTCAGGCGAAGTGACACAGAGGCCGAGACAGACATTCTCCTACCCCGTCAAGGACTCACTCCGACACCTGATACCTCTTATATCTCTCTCATCTCCATTGTGACGCGATTGGTTCCGCGAACGACTTCGACGGTGTTTGTGACGTTGACCAAAACAAGCACGCAACGGCCGCCGCGGACCGTGACCGAGTCGACGACCATTGCTGTGACCAGCACTGTGGGCGTTCCTGATGTCCCCGTGAGCTCTGTACGTCTTTTTACATCCCCCTGGCATATTTCCTGCGACATTGACTGATTTACACATAGACTGTGATCGTGACGGCCGCTACCACCGTGAACTTGACGCAGACCATCACCGTCCCGGCCGAAACGACCGTGTCAACCGTCACCAACACTCAATACAACTACACGGCCGTGCGGAGCACGTACCTCGCGTGCGCGACCGACAACCTCCTAGGCCCCCGCATCCAGGACGGCAGCTACATCAACAACGTGGTGGACAACGTGCGGGCCAACGTCGGCACGGGCACCAACGCGACCTCGAGCTACGAGTGCTGCACCATCTGCCAGGACGTCGTCGACGGCTTTTGCGACTTTGCCTACTTTGACACGCAGACCAGCGCCGAGGGTGGGAACTGCGTGCTGTACAAGGCCAACGTGCCGAGGAGGGGCACCGCCACGTGTGCTCGTGCGCAGGCCGGGTTCTTCAACACAAACAGGCGTACGGCGAATCGGTGGGTCGTCATGAACGGGCCGTGTGGGCAGTTGGTGCATGGGAATCCGAGCCGGGCGGCCTCGACTACGGCTGCGGTGCCGACCTAGGCAGAGGTGCTACAACTATACACGAGAGGTGGTGGTGGTGGTGGTGGCGGCGGGTGTAAAGACGCGTGGCAACTAGACAAGTGCGCAGGATGGGAACAATACAGCTAGAGATAGCGAAGTACTAGTAAGAGAAAAAGAGACAGATGAGAAAAGGTGATGTATAAAAGCAATGGAATGGAATGGATGCCGTCCGCGCTTTTCTCATAGGCGAATCAATCATGAGATGGTATTATTCCTCCTCCACCAGGATAGATGATTAGATATTCGTATCCGCGCAAGGCTGTCTTGGAATGAGGATCATATAGCCTCGACATAATACAAAGGGCCATAACTATCCGTATATTGGGTAATAGTCTACCTCTTTTTGGTCTCTCCCTCCTACTGCTCTATCGAACCCTTTCCTCTCGCACCCTGTTTCTGTCTCGGTATCTCTAGTCCTTTTCTGGTCCTTCGCTCTCTCTCCCTCCTCCCCTCCCTGTAGTGCTCACTATGTGCTCCTTATACCTAGGACAAGGTCATTAGACAAAACTCTTGCATGAAGTCGCTCAAGCAGTCCTCGTATTAGACAATATCTTCATCTTCGTTGTCTCCCTCTCCATTGTATCTCTACACAAGATCCTCAGCAACCACACAAACAGCCTTCCCCCTGACCTCCCCTTTGTGAAGCAACTCAAACATCCTCGGCACCTCCTCCAAACCATGAAAGACCTGCGTCTCGGCCACGACGCCATGGCGCGCCACCGTCGCGAGCATCTCGTCCGCGACGGTCTTGCCGCCGTGCGCGGTGCCCTTGATGGTGACGTCGCGGAGGACAATGTCCTCGAACCGCACGGTCACCTCGGGCGGCTGCGCGGTCTGCACGACCGTGCCGTGCGAGCGGGTCATGGACGCGGCCAGCGCGGCGGACGAGGCGTGGTCGCTGACGTTGATGGTTGCGTCGACGCCCGCGCCGCCGGGTGTGATGGCGCGGACCTGCGCGAGGACCTTTTCCGAACCCGCGCGTGCGTCCAGGACGTGGTCGGCGCCGTATTTCCGCGCGACGGCGAGGGCCTCGTCGCGCGCCTCGACCGCCACGACCGTCAGGCCCGCCGCTTTGGCGAACTGGACGGCGAAATGGCCCAGGCCGCCGCCCGCGCCGACGATGCCGATCCATCTTCCCCCTCCCCCTCCCCCTTCCTCTCCCTCGCCCTCCGGCGCTTGTCGCTGCTGCGCGACGACCCCACTGACCTTCAAGGCGCGATAGACCGTGACGCCCGCACAGGCCAGCGGCGCGGCAGTGAGAAAGCCCACCTCGTCAGGCACTTTACAGCTCGACCGCGCATCGACGACGTGAAACTCGGCAAACGCCCCGTCCGTCACGACCCCCGTGGCCCCCTCGGCCGCGAAACAATACTGTCGCCAATCCCGCTCGAGCGGGGCCAGACAGTTCTCGCACTTCCCGCACCCCCGGAACGTGATCCCCGACATGACCCGGTCGCCGACCTTGAACTCCTCCTCTGGGACGGCGTCGCCGGTGGCGACCACCACGCCCGTCCCCTCGTGCGACAGCGTCATGGGCAGGCCGTTTCTCAGGGGCATGAACCCCGCTTGGACCATGAGGTCGGTGTGGCAGAGGCTGGCGACGGCGGTGCGGAGGAGGAGGTCGTGGGGCCCCAACTCGGAGGTGGAAGGGGTTTTGGTCGTTTGGACGACAGGCGCGGTGTTGAAGGCCGTGAGTTGCGCTGCGAGCATTTTTGGTGGTAGGGGGGTCGTGGTCGTGGTCGTTGACATTATTAGGTGTGGTGAGGTGTAGTGAGGTGAGGTGATGTAAAGGTTAGCTGAGGTTAGGTATATATAACGAGATAAGGTGGTGAGGAGAGATGAGATGAGAGTCGATGAAGAGATTCGATAGGATAGAATGAGATGGCTGATACAGCTGAGATGGCCGAGATGAGATGAAATGGTGTGATATAGATGGGATGAATACAAAAACCTAGGAGGTCCTAGATAGATACTTGGGTATGTAGATATGTAGGGCAGTTTGTATAAATCCCTCCTCCAATATTGTCCGGGATCAATTATCCCCGACTGTCTATGTCCGACTATACTCGACGATACTCGATCGTGTGGGATGCTGATTTCGTACCGGTTATTGGATACTGCATACTGCATGGGGTACTCACTGCCTGACTCGCCCGCTCTCTCACTTACTGTACATGTACAGATACACACGCCAGCCATGCGGCGGCCCAACCCGACCAGCGAGTTCTAGATCCGGCCAGTGGCCTTGAGGATGCGAGGATGAAAGGACAGATGGATGAGTTGTCATGGACAAACCAACCCCTCTTCCTCCCCCTTCCTCCTCGGCGGAATGACAAGCGACGAGCGGCCGAGTTACATGCTCGAGATGTGCTCCTTATAAAGCCCCACATGGACAATCGGACAACACATCGATGCACGATGCTGCTTAGTGTCTACATCCAGGTTCGACGAACGTGTCATTTGAGACAGTCTGCATACAAAGAAAGGAGAAGGGGGCGGGGGATTGGATGAATGAATGGGAGGCCAAGAGGTGGGAAAAAGAGTGGTAAATGAGTAATGGTCGTTGATGAACTCGGTTTGGTAGTTGTTGAAGGAGGGAGGGAAATTGAAGAAAATACAAGAAATTCTGGCAATGCTAGTAGCTGTCATCCATCACACAGCATTCGGCACAATATGGCGATATCTTCTCGGTGGTGAAAAAGAAAAGAAAACATCCTTTGGAGATCGACGGTCATAGAGAAGATGTGTCTATGTCACCGCATTGGATACTAATATGCTTGACTTGGTAGGAACTCCAAACTGAAACGACACAACATAGCAGGATAAGACAGATCATGACTACCTGCCGTCCTACATGGTCACCACCTCATTCACCGGCGCGACAGGCCTCCCCGTCCGGAAAAGACTCCGAATATTCTCAAAACACTCCCTCTCGGACTTCATAAACGCCACGTCCGTCAACCCGCCCATGTGCGGCTGAACCACGACCTTGTCACTCTCCCAGAAATACGGGTTGACGTTGGGTTCGTTGCAGAAGACGTCGAGGCCGGCGCGCGTCAGCTTGCCCGACTCCAGAGCTTGGATTAGGGCCTCCTCGTCGATGATGGCGCCCCGGGCCGTGTTGACCAGGAAGGCGCCCGGTTTCATGGCGGCGAATTCGGCGTGCGAGATGAGGTTCGTGGTCGACTCGTTGAGTGGGCAGGAAATGGAGACGATGTCCGCGTCGGCGAGGAGGACGTGCAGCGATGAGCAGTATTCGGCATTGTACTCCCTCTCCACGTCCGGGGGGAGTCGCTTGCGGTTGTAGTACTTGACTCGCAGGTTGAAGACTGAGGCCTTCTTTGCCGTGTACTAGTGTGTTCAGTCAGTGAGAGTTGACACCACAAAATCCATTGAGCAGTATCGCCCACCTTTCCAATCGCCCCCATACCCACGATCCCGAGCGTCAGCCCTGTTGGATCTCGACTGGGAACAAGGCCTTGCTTCCAATTCCCCGTCCTGGCACTCTTCTCGCTTCGGGTGGTATCTCTCAGCACTGCCAGGATCAAGAAAATGGCCATGTCTGCAGTCGCTTCAGCGACGGCGTCGCGAGTGTTGCAGAACCAGACATTATTCCGCGTCATCCAGTCGACATCAAACTCATTAAAACCCGCTGAAGCAGAGGCAATGATCTTGCATTGAGGCAACAAGCTGCCTAGAAGACCCTCATCGAACGGCTCGTACGGAATGGTGCCCATACGAATGATAAAGGCATCGACCGGACGAGAGCTCGCTATGAATTTCGGGAGGAGATCCTGGGTTTCCTGCCGATTCGTTGCTGGGAGGATCTTTGGCAATTAGAGACTCGGCCACCATACACCTCTGAAGACTGGTTACCTCGAAATCGAACTCCCGCTTGAACTCTGCCAGGAATTCATCACCGACATATTTTGGATCTCCGAGAGCCACAACAAGCGGCTTGGTGGCGGCGGCGGCGTTGGACATGTCAGAGCCAATTTTGTGGTCTCGTGCCTCTAGCTCTGACTCGACCAATTTCTAAACCATGATATTGTTTCCCATTGTTGTAGACATAAGCTGGACCTACGCGCCCTTTGATGTAGCCCATCTCCGAGAAGTTTCTCAGCAGGTTCGGGCTTCTCCGGGCACTGAGTCACCAGTTTCAATAGTTCTGTGATTCGAGGCAGCAAATATGTTGAGCAGAGCAATGCTCTGAGTGAATGTCATGCCAAAGTCAGATCAAGCAGACAACTTCAAATCATCGTCGGTAGACATTTCCACGTTCTTGAGCGCTCTTGAACCACTGCTACCCTCCATGAGAACATTCACAGGTTGTTGACCTGCTTGCAATGTCCTCCATTTCCAACTTCTGACCAACTGGCGATCCATATCAACTCCCTCGATGATGTCGACTATCCACTTACCAATGTTGGGAAGATACTTGAAGGCATGTCCGCTGCCGCCTGTCGCGATCAGCACCGACTCTTGACCAGGCAAGGTGTCGATGAGATAGTGGTTGTCGAAAGAGTCCGTATACCAACATAGTCGGGTCAACTGGATATCGATCCCTTCCTCGACCATTTCTGGGAGAAAGTCTCTGATGAAAGACTCGACGACTGTCAACGCTTGCTTGGGGAGTTGTGTAATCTTCTCGTCGGCTGTATATCTTGTGATGGGCACACTGCGCTCCTTGCCGTCTGATTGCATCGTAGGATTGGTATATTTGGTGCCTCTATACCCAATCTTCATATACCCTCTTTCATCTCGGGGAAAGCCATAGAGACCACCAATGGCCCCATCTCGCATTCTATATGACCAAGACGGGAACCTCTCTGGATCGAAACGTTCGAAAAGAGGTGATTTTGGTGGGATTTTCAACATCACCACTGACCCAGCTGTCGTTTCGCAGATACCGTCGAGCTCTGGGATCAGTGATGGTGTCCACCCGCCGCACGCCATAATGACCTTCGATGCAAGGTGTTTTCGGCCGTCTCTCATTCTAATCCCCGTAACTCTTTGTCGATCGTCGTAGCAGAATGCCTCAAAACAACCGGCATCAGGATGCAGGACGAAGCGAACCCCCATCTCCTTTCCCTTGTGGAGGGCGAAACGACACGCCATATCTGCAATGGCTATCCCACCGGTAGTGTCTAGAACACCGAGATAGCTTTCACCTTTTGATTTGCGTTCAAAAGGATCCATTGCGTAGCCAAAGCCTCTCTCGCGGGCAATTTCCTCATGCTGGCTGTCAGTTGTGATGAGCTGGGTATCGCTGAAACCCGCTCGCTCCATATTTCTGATGGTTGCTTTCTCAAATTCCGGAAGTTCATCTCGGTCAGTCAACGAGAGATGGCCGTTGTTGATGAAGACCTTATCTGCTCTAGTCATTCCGTCAGGTACGCATCTGCCCGTGCTAATCTCTTGGTTCCACTCCTCCCAGCACTCGATAGCTTCTCTAGAGAGGTCTTGGTATTCGGTTTGTTCGCCATATGCAGACCGGATAATCTTGTTCATGTCGGCAGAAGCAGAATCACAGCCGGAGATGTAGTCATATTTTGTACTTTCATAGGGCTGTGCGTCGAAGACAGTGACGTCGGTATAGCCTCTCGCTGCCAGGTGGAGAGCAGTACTCAGGCCAAACACACCTGCGCCAACAATGACAATGCAGTCTGTTTTTTCCAATGGCGGAGCCATATTCTAGGCTGTGTCGAGTTGGGTGGTATACGGAAGTCCTAGAATCCGCTGTATTTGGAGCGCAACTCGAACATGAGCTGTATTCGCAGTGTTCAGAATTTCGGGGAAAATGCACCGTGAGTCTTCCGCGTTGTCCAAAACTCACGTAGACAAACACATAACACTTGCTAGATGTAGAAATTCAGCACACCAACCATGATGGTACACGTACACCAGCACACCATTGAGATTGGTACTGTAAGTATTCGGTACAGTAGCGGGCTCTGCGCCTAAACACGCAGCCACGTGGCGGCCTCTATGAGGGTAATTCAACCTGTGGGGAGTATTTTATGCTCATGCACATACATTTACAACGAGGGGCTGGTGGTGCTCCGATCATGATAAGGGGTAGGCATTGCGTTGGAGTAAGGTACATATGTACGAGGTACTCGATACACAGATACCCGTGCCTCGTACATTATGCGTGAGTATCTCGCTTTGGGCAAAGTCAGCAAACTTCTCTTGGCGTATTTGCTACCTTTGTATGAGATGGACCACCGGTGATGCCTACCTGCTACACCTACCTTCACCACCAACACCATGAGCCTGAAGACCAGCAATGTCATTTCTCCCATATAAAATGTGAATAGGGAGCGCAAAGCTCTCCAGCAAGAAAAATGGTTTTCAAAAAAGAGGACAAGTTCCCTGAATTCGAAGACCCCAGAGCGTTCGACAAGCAAGATTGTCTCTCGTGCAGGATTCTCGGTATGCCGGCGGTCGAATAGACCTCTCTCCAGACCACTACAAAGTGCAGACAGCTGACTGCTTACTCCCTCCAGGCTCTACGGCATTCGTGGCCCTAGGTGGCTACACCTATTTCTCGGGTATGCAGCAACTTCGCGCTCGGCAAAAGGTCATCGAACTCAGCAAGTCCAAGTACAAATACGGCTCGCGCCAGCTGGGCATCATATCATTGTCCGCAACGCTCATGGGCTTGGGGATTTACCGCATGTTTATTTGATCGAGCCCGTCTGTCATTGTTCACAGCCAACGAGCTGGTCCGCATATGTAACAAAGCAAATGGTTTAAGGAGTCATTCAGGATTAGGGGCGAATCTCAACCCCGGAGACTATCTGTCTGTCTAGAGCGCTCAAATGAGCCAAAACATCAATGTACTCTAATGCAACTAAAACTTCGCCATGCTGATGGTCATGTCCTCATAAGAATATACCGTTTCATGCACTAGAGCTGAAAGATGATCATGGTGCCGAAAACACAAATCGACGTGTGCGGCCAAAGGTCATGAAATCCTCCCCTTCTTGCTGCTCTCGAATCCTTCCCTCGGTCCGATGTTGGAAATGTCAAAAAAGTCGGGTATCTGGAATTTGCGCTTCGTACCAGCTGTGAAAGTAAACTCTCGTGTCGATGATCGTGTTCCGTGTCTTTGATTGCTGCTTCGATGGGGCGTGCGACTTCCTCGGTTGTTGACAAAAGTTGCTCGGCTCGTACTACCTGATGTTGACGAAGAGGCCTGGGGCTCTGGCGCCGCGCCACTGTCCTCATCTGTTTGCATATCGTCATGCGGTGTCGAGGCTGCATTTCCGCTGAAGTAAAACATGGGTGTCGTCGTCGGTTGCTCCTGAGACAGAGAAATTTGTGGCTCCTCGGTTTGGGTACCCGACTCTGCCCTTGTAGGTAGTATTGAGGTCGAGACGGGTTGTTCGACTGCTGGGGAGATGGCTCGTTGTCTTTGACCGGTTTCGCTTCTCTCGTCGTCGCTTTCGATCTGGTGGTGGTGGGTAGACCCCTCATATCTTTCCGTCGCCCACTGCCTCACCCTCCAGCCCTCACCATCTTGTAGACCGAGATTCTCTTTATCCAGGAAACTGAGTAGATCCTCCAAAGCATCTTGGTACCCAGCTTGACGGCTGGCATTCTGATCTGTGACTGCCGACTTGTAAAGGTTTGTGACGGAGAGCGCAGCGGTTCGAAAGGCTTGGAGGAGTTGTTCGGGGGGCGCAGGTCGAGTCGAGGGGAGTGAGGTGTTGAGAGACCTCATCGAGTCCATGATGAACACTCGAAGAGGCTCTTGCAAAAGGCTGACTGATGTCGGAGCGATGCCTCGAGTCGATGGCCAAGGACTTGATTACGAGACGATCGAGGAGGGGTTTGTTTTGGTGCCGAGCCTGAAGACAAAAGAATTCCTTCTACCGGCAGAATAGAAAAAGAGTGACAAAGAAGTGGTGAGTCTCAGCCAGATGGGTCCTTCGTCTGTTTAGAGAGGTAGACAAGCTGCTGCAAGAGGAGTAGTTGTGGTTGGGCAGCTGGAATGAAACAGGACCCGGGAGCAGATGTGAAGTGTCAGTCCCCGTGACACAGTGGCTCGGGTGGATGTGTTGATCCGATTACGAAAAAAATCCAAGTCACGTGGAGATATTAACAGGGCATCTAAGCCGAACCATGGACGTGTTGTGGCCAATCAGAGGCAATCGCAGCGCGTTTGCAGGCATGGTAGAGACGTTCATTCTTCTCTCCACACCCTCCCTCCATGTCTTTTTATTCTTGTCAATCCCTCTGTTTGACAACTCTCCTTCTGCCTGCACGACACGCTGCCATCGCGCTTTGCTCTGCTTCGCGCCACCCCAGGATTCTTCCTGTTTCCACCAGCAGAAGTCGCGTCAGAACTATTTACATTCACTGAACTATAACTATTCCCTCCGCCACGGCCGCGGCGGCCACACCCCTCAACCCTGTCCACCATGGCTCCTTCAAAGCCACAACAGCCCGACTCAGAAACCTCGTCTGTAGCAGACACTCCAATGACCGACGGTCCTGACTACATACGCCCCCATAGACCGTCCTTTGGTCACCTCAATCGCCCCGTTGACGATACCCCCGACTACACCGATTCCGATACAAATCCCAACACCACCGCTTCCAGCGTAGCAGGAGATACTCCACTGGCTGATGGTCGGAAGAAGCGCTCGGAAGCATTCCAGCTCCGGAAAAGCATTCTGGGAAAGAAACATGGCCAATTGGACGAGTCCAAGGAGGACGATACCCTACGGAGATTCAAGTACTTGCTAGGCCTGACTGACCTCTTCCGACACTTCATTGATGCCAGTCCGAATCCCAAGATCAGAGAGGTTCTGCAACAAATCGACCAAGAAAATGCTGAAGAGGAGGCAAAGGCCAGAAAGGTCGTGTCCCGCAAAGGCGGCGCAGCCGGTGCGGCCAAGCGAAAGACCGAACAGGAGGAGGATGCTGAACTCCTCAGAGATGAGAAGCGCGGCACCGCTTCCCAGACTGTCTTCAGAGACTCGCCGGCCTTTATCAAGGGTGGCGAGATGCGTGACTATCAGGTTGCAGGTCTCAATTGGCTCATTTCTCTCCACGAGAACGGTATTAGTGGTATCCTCGCAGATGAGATGGGTCTTGGTAAGACACTGCAGACAATCTCCTTCCTCGGGTACTTGCGACACATCTGTGGCATAAAAGGTCCACATCTCATCACAGTCCCCAAGTCCACACTCGACAATTGGCGTCGAGAATTCGAGAAATGGACCCCTGATGTCGATGTCTTGGTCCTACAGGGCGCAAAAGAAGACCGCCATGCCTTGATCAATGAACGCTTGATTGACGAGAAATTCGATGTATGCATTACAAGTTACGAGATGATCCTTCGAGAAAAGTCTCACCTGAAGAAATTTGCGTGGGAATACATCATTGTCGACGAAGCCCATCGAATTAAAAACGAAGAGTCCTCACTTGCACAGATCATCCGGATGTTTAGCTCGCGAAACAGACTATTAATTACCGGCACTCCCCTCCAGAACAATCTGCACGAACTGTGGGCCCTGCTCAACTTCTTGCTGCCTGACGTATTTGGCGACTCTGAAGCATTCGATTCCTGGTTCTCTAGCCAGAATGAAGACCAAGACACAGTGGTCCAACAGCTCCATCGCGTTTTGCGACCGTTCCTGCTTCGGAGAGTGAAGAGCGATGTTGAGAAGAGCCTGCTCCCGAAGAAAGAGGTGAACCTCTACGTCGGCATGTCCGAGATGCAGGTCAAATGGTACAAAAAGATTTTGGAAAAGGACATTGACGCCGTCAACGGTGCAGGAGGCAAACGAGAATCAAAGACGAGACTTTTGAACATTGTCATGCAGCTGCGAAAATGCTGCAATCACCCCTATCTTTTCGAAGGCGCTGAGCCGGGCCCTCCCTACACCACGGATGAGCATCTCGTCTTCAACTCTGGCAAGATGATAATCCTGGACAAAATCCTCAAGCGAATGAAGGATGAGGGAAGCCGCGTCTTGATATTCTCTCAGATGAGCAGAGTACTCGACATCCTCGAAGACTACTGTGTCTTCCGAGGTCATCAGTACTGTCGTATTGACGGTGGAACCGCACATGAGGATCGAATTGCCGCCATCGACGAGTACAACAAACCAGGCTCGGAGAAGTTTGTCTTCCTTCTCACCACCCGAGCTGGCGGGTTGGGCATTAACTTAACCTCGGCCAACATTGTTATTCTCTACGACAGCGATTGGAATCCGCAAGCAGATTTGCAGGCAATGGACCGAGCACACCGTATTGGTCAGACTAAGCAAGTGGTGGTATTCCGGTTCGTAACGGAAAACGCCATTGAGGAAAAGGTCCTTGAGAGAGCTGCTCAAAAGTTACGTCTGGACCAGCTTGTCATTCAGCAAGGGCGTGCGCAGCAGCAAGTCAAGCAGGCTGCCTCAAAGGATGAGCTGTTGACTATGATTCAACATGGCGCGGAGAAAGTATTCGAAACCAAGGGCACCACAGGAGAACTTGACGACATTGACGAGATTCTGCGACGTGGTGAAGCTCGAACTGCGGAACTGAGCGCCAAATATGAGAAACTCGGGATCGACGACCTCCAGAAGTTTTCCTCTGAGAATGCCTACGAGTGGAATGGTGAAGATTTCACCAACCGCAAAAAAGACATCAGCTTGCACTGGATCAATCCTAGCAAACGTGAACGAAAGGAACAGTCGTATTCGATGGACAAGTACTACAAGCAGGCTTTGTCGACGGGTGGACGACCGGCTGACACCAAACCCAAGATTCCACGCGCACCAAAACAGGTCGTCGTGCACGATTGGCAATTCTTCCCTCCGGGTCTACAAGAACTCCAGGAAAAGGAGACGGCCTATTACCACAAAGAAATCGGCTTCAAGGTACCCCTCACAGATGGTACCGAAGAAGACCTGAGCGACCGGGAGGCTGATCAGCGGCTCGCTCAGAATGAGATAGACAACGCGGAGCCGCTGACCGAGGAAGAGAAACAACTCAAAGCAGAGATGCAGGAGCATGGGTTCGGCAACTGGAATCGGCGTGATTTCCAGCAATTCATCAACGGTTCTGCCAAATTTGGCCGAACCAACTATGAAGGAATCGCGACCGAAGTCGACAGCAAGGAGCCAGACGAGGTGGAAAAGTATGCCAAAGTCTTCTGGAAGAGATATACGGAAATTGCCGAGTTCGACAAGTATATCAAGAACATCGAGGCAGGGGAAGAAAAGCTGCGAAAGACTGAACGGCAACGAAAGATGCTGCGGAAGAAGATGGAGATGTACCGAGTCCCGCTGCAACAATTGAAGATTAACTATACGGTTTCGACGACCAACAAGAAGGTCTATACAGAGGAAGAAGACCGCTTCCTCCTGGTTATGCTTGACAAATACGGTGTGGATGGGGAGGGGTTGTATGAGAGGATCCGTGATGAGATCCGGGAATCACCGCTGTTCCGGTTCGATTGGTTCTTCCTCAGTAGAACGCCTGTTGAGATTGGTCGACGTTGTACCACATTGCTCAATACCGTCTCCAGAGAGTTTGGAGAAACCGAAGAGAAGCTCACAAATGGGCACGCTCCTGGGAAAGGACGTGGTCGTGACCGGGACGACGAGGAAGACGAGGAGAATGACAGTGAAGCTCCGCCTGTCAAGAAGAAGGCAAAGAATGGTATTGTGGTACGTACAAGACGATTCCACCTTGCAGTGCTCCGACTAACAATTGTTCAGAACAAGCAGGTCAAGGCCGTCAAATCTGGTCGTGGTAGCAAAGCGACTTCTCCGGCAACCTCTCGAGCACAAAGTGTCTCATCGACAACGCCAACAGCCAACAAGTCGAAGGGGAAGAAGAAATAAAGGGCACACGACCAGTATTATTAAATTAACCAATTTTACTTTTTCTGTGGTTATGACGGCACGTTTGATCAGGACGCTACGGGGTTTCGGCTACTTGATACGAAACAGTGCATAACAGGTATCTCTACTATGCAAGGAGCGTTGATAGAGTGACGCGGGATCAAAACATTGGCTGGGATGCGTTCAAGTTATGCAAAGACCGGGTGGGAGGATACCTCTGACTTTCTGTTTGTCTGTGTTACGAGTCCGGCATGAGCATTGCGCGTCTTCTGGCATCAACCATGCACATGGTGTGGGAGCGAGCATATGTCTTTCGAGATTTGGGGGGTGGGAACAATCAAAGGCAGAGCACACAGCTGTACCACGGTATATCATGATACGTGGGTGTGCGATGTGTACATTAGCGCAGAGCATGACGAAAGACCTGGTAAAGAAAGACGAGAATTGTTATGTTGAGAAGTAATCCATCCTTGTTCCCTGTTTCCCTGTGTCCCGTCTCCCGTTCCCTGGTCCCTAGACTTCTTCTGGTTCAAGTCCAGGCAACTGGAAGGCAGGCTGATGAGTTGGATGGATGGGTTGAACACATACGTGCATACATACGAGGTACATATGCGCCCCTTACGTTATGGTTCACACGTGGCGATGAATACGAGATACGAGAGCGACTCAGAGCGGGATGGAGGGTATGTATATGTATATGGAGATATCACTTGAGAAGAAGAAGATGGTATCGATGAGAGATTTTGGATAAGAACAACAGACGCAATTTGTTGTCTGAATTCAGTCACCTCACCTCACCTCACCTCACCTTACCTCACCACTACGTATACCTCACATTGGCATCTATCTGCACACTTGAGTCTCTACCTCACTACCTACCTAGCCATCTCCCTACTTATCTCCCTTCCTACCTATCTTAAGTATCTTTACCCCTATCTCTGATACCGACTAGAAACATACGGACAAGCCACCACGCGAACCACGCGAACCGCCACAAGTCACCACAGTAACGACAGGACAGATACCGACAGCGGGAAAAAAGAAAGGGCAAACCATGTCCCCCCTCACACTCAAAACCCTCTCGGCCCTGCGCGTGCTCATCGGCGCGACGTGCCTGCTCGTCCCGCGCCCCGCCGGCACGCTCTTCGGCATCCCCCTCGCGCCGGGGCCGGAAGGCGTGCTCCTCGGCCGCATGGTCGGGGTCAGGGACGTCGTGCTCGGGGCGTATTTGTGGAAGAGAGTAAGGGGAGTGGAACAGGAGCAGCAGCAGCAGCAGCAGCATGAAGATGCTGAGGTCGGTTCGATGGCGAAGAGTGGTTCCCCTGTGGCTGCTGGAGCGGGCGAGGAGCGGCTGACCAGGACGCCATTGCTGTTCAATAAGGTCAATTCGTCCGTGGCGGGGGGTGTGGATGTCAGCAAGGATGGGAATGGGAATGGAGACGCAGGAAACTATTCCTCGTTGTCATTAGGAGTTAGCGGTGGTCTAGCTGCCCTTCGACTGGCCGAAAGGGAATCTGCCCTGCACTCGGCCGTGTGGCTCGGCCTGGTCGTCGACACGATCGACGTCGCCAGCGTGCTCGTCGGCTCTCTGGGCGGCGGCGATCCACTCTCCGACCTCGCGAAGGTGACCGTCGGTGCCGGCGGCTTGGTCTTTGCGCTGATTGCGGGACAGCATCTGCTGGTGCATCAACGAGGCTGAGCTTAGCGACACTGAATGCTGGAGAGGGTGGAACGAAAGACCTGGTGCATTTCAAGTCGAAGAGCGGGAAGAGGGGAGAGATGGCTTGAGAATGTCAAATTGCGGTCTGTTGAATATATCTGTCCACAGAGTTAATCAGGAAAATGAGTTTCTCTCCGGAAATGAGCGGTGCTATACAGAATACCGACGCCCGATCCTGCTCCACTTCTTGTTGTGTCTCTCGTACACAACCGCCGTCTAGTTCACGAGGACAGCCTGACCATAGGGATTCTTGGCCACCTTGTCGTTGCTCTTCCCCTCGGGGTCTCCCCTGCTCATCCGTCCCCGACTTGTTCGGTAGACACCCCGGCTGGCATCCACGATAGGGTTGATCCAAACCTTCTCGCCTCCCTTTTCGGCTGCCTCGACTGGTCGCGTCGTCATTCCCAGCCCCGTCGGGTGGTAGTTGATGTAGATACCCTCCCAGCCCTGACGCTCGGGGAGAGCAAAGATTTCGTGCATGATGCCGACGTGCTTGTGCTTTGACACGGTGTCGTTCCACCAGTTCCAGGCCTCACGATGGATGGGCGACAGCGCAAAGTTGTGAATGTCCTCGATCGAGCGCCAGTAGGAAATGGTGGCGAGCTCATTGCTTGTGGATCGTTCGCCCCCATTGATCCAAGTCGACATGCCCATGACTGAAGAGAGTCAGTGGACAAAACACACGTGTGCGGAAAGGAGAAGCGAGCCACTCACAGCCACTTTCTTCTCGCGTGTCCTCTAGTTGTACAAGCATGTCCCGAAACCGATCGGCTACTTCCTTATAACCTGACACATAAAACAGTCAGCACTCGCTGATATCAGACAAAAGAACCTATGCTCACCGTCAGCAAATAAGCCCATTGGTGAATTACTCCTTGCTCCGAGAATCATGACTGCGCGTGGGCCATTCTCGCCAGGGTTGCCGTGAACCACCTCTGTCTCTCCTTCGGAAGGATAGCCCACGCTCCATTTGCCGTCAATGACGCCCTCGGCCCAGACGTTCTTTTTGAGACCGAAGTGCATCAAGAAAGCGTCGACGATGTTCCACCCCAAGACGAGCAGGACAGGGAAGGCGAGATAAGATCGAGGAAAGATGAAAGAGAGAAGGATCTGAATGGCGCCGCCCAACAGGAGCCAAGTTTTTATGGTGAAATTGTCCTTGAGAAGCTATAGTGGCGAGGACTGGTTAGTTCCAGTACCGTGAGAGAGTACCTCGTACTCTGTATAGAAGCATACGTACAGCAATGTCAGATCCAGAAAAGGGGCCGAAGCCGGTCTTCTTGCCAGATCCAATATTTCCTGCAATGGAGTACTGGGATCGAGGCTTCTGGCTGGAAGCTGGAAACAGTGTTTTGATACCCATGGCAGTTGAGGGTTTATTGAACAGCTATCACGATGGGAATGGCTTGAACTGTGTAGTCAGGTTGTTGCAAGGAGAGTCGGCTGAGTACAGATGGAAGGGGCCAGCCTTAGTTTATATGGTTGTGAGATAGCCATTGTACTACCCTGGCCTATTTACTCAGTCGAACCGTGTGTTGCTTTGTATGGCGACGGGAGGGCTGGTCTGCTCGGTTCACCGATAGTATGTAAGAAACGGGAAGTGGGTAGCTCTATGAATGAGATTCGGGGGCCTGAGACCACAGGCAATGCACCGTGTCCAACCAGGTTGGGCAATTAGTCAGATTGGGCAACCGCTTCAATCCCCAGTTGTACTGGCGTGTATGTGGCTGGCAGCTTTGGCGGAGAGGCTGCGGGCGTCGCATGGCAGGCATATTCTAAGCGCAACTTCATCGGTAGATGTTCTCGGATGTGCGGACTCGAAGTCTAGAGCTGTGGTACAGGGATTGTGAAGCTGGAGTATCGAGCAGGCCACACACCATTCTCAACCAGGCCTCTTCCCGCCAGTCATGCCAAAGGTGTAGGCTGCAGGGCTGAAGTGAAGGTTGTCGTTCATCGATTTTGACGCCACGATGGCACTGATATCCTGTTTCATGCTAGCTTAAGCGGGCTGCCAGTTCAGCTCGCTTGGAGGAGATGCCGTACGAGTAGATTAGACGTTCCGGACCCTGGGCTGCGACATTAGACTGACTCAACACTTTCCTGATTTGAACCGCATCCTAGCAGCGGCCAACAGCAGACCTAGACTTGTCAGGTTGCATCTGCGCTCCTTGCTGGATTGGATGTTGCAAAGTAGTCCATCCGGTGGTGATACAGAGAAGGAGGAAAGAAGCAATGTTGGGGGGGTGCGCCGTTGCGCCTGGTAGATACGACGAGGGGTCGTCAGTTGTGATGATTGTTAAAGTGGCAAGGGATTTGGCGGCGCAGTTGAGCACAAGGCATCAAATGCCCACCATGCGTCGGGCTGCGACTTGATGCATCTTCCCCCTCAATATGAGCGTCACTATTGACGCTCTCTACGTCTTTGATGATCACAAGTAGGCTACATGCTTCTTGTCCACTTTGGTAAACCACTTTGCTGACTTTTTGCAAGCAACTGCGTCCTCGAACACGTCTATGGAGGTCGTCCACCATCCGCACAAGCCCTCATCGCCGGTTTGACTGCGAGAACTGGACCTCGACCATCAGTCCTTCAACTCTCTGACTTTGCTCCACCAACCACAGCATACTCGATATCTCCTTCTAGCTTTCAGCTGATTGCAGTATCTGGAAAAGATGCGCAGTCGTTGGCCATCCTTGATTTCCTTCAACGGGTCCTCGATGTCTTTGAGGACTTTCTCGGGAGCCCCCTCCTGACCACGAAGATCGAAGACAACTATGAGATTGTCGCCCAATTATTGAGTGAGATGTGTGATGGAGGCATAATATGTAACACCGAACCCAATGCGCTGAGAGAGTCGGTAGAAGTGTCTTCGGTGCTGGGAAAGTTGTTCACACATGTGGGACTGCCTGGGTACGTCCTGGACCGTGTTTCGCAAAGATTGATGGTACTAATTCTCGTAGGGCTTCGCCTGCCCTTGGTCCGTCGAGCAGCTTCTCCTCAAGCCTACGTAGGACGGCTTCGCCTCCCGTAGGACCAGCAATTCCGTGGCGCAAGTCAAATGTCAGACACACGTCTAACGAGCTCTATGTTGATATCATTGAGAGCTTGTCGGTCATATTCGCCCCTTCAGGTCGCCCTATATCAGCGCGCTCACATGGGTCGATCGCCTTCACTGCCAAAATATCTGGGGTACCCGATTTGCTTTTGGTATTAACCGCCCCTGGAGGCACCAGCAGTGCCAAAACCGCGGGAATTGTGCGTACTATGCAACTACCAGTTTTCCACCCCTGTGTCCGGTTAGCGAGATGGAAAGAACACCCCGGAGAGTTGTCGTTTGTCCCACCAGACGGTCGTTTCATGCTTGCAGGTTATGAGACAGATCTGATGCCGTCCTCCCTCGATAGCGACCAACCTCCTAGCAAAAGTGACAAGTTGTTCCTACCGGCGACTGTAGATCTGCGAGGCGGACTTGGTGGTTCCGGGTCCGACTTTGAAGCCAAACTGACCCTAACTAACAACTTCCCTGGGGTTGCTTCAACGACCAAACCGAGCGTCTCCCGGACAAGCTCAGGCCCGATATCTTCTCTATCGTTTGGCGGCTCCAGTGTTGGCAGCTCTAGTGCCCCTACCCTGGAAGCGGTGATGGTCACAATACCATTTCCATCAGATGTGCGAAGTGTCACTGAACTGAAGGCTTCAAGAGGCGAGGCTACGTTCAATGCGTTCGACAAGGTCGTCGAATGGAAAGTTCCTACCAAGGATGGAGCATCGATCAACGGAACGGCGACATTGACGGGCACAGTGGCAGGAGCTTTCAATGCGCAAAATGACCTAGATGAAGAGGCACAAGCCGCCGAAATCGGGAAACAGAACACTATGGCAGGGTACTATCACGAAGACGTGGTTGCCACTCACAGCTCAGTACCCGACCCATCAGGCAACGGCAAATCCAAAAGGACACAAGCAACTAAAGCACTAATGCCACGTTCGATCTCGGTCTCATTCAGCGTCAAAGGATGGTTACCGAGTGGGATCAAAGTCGACAGCTTGGTGGTCGATGTGAAGAAATCCAAGGGACTGGGTGACGGCGTTCGACCTTACAAAGGCGTCAAGTACCTTACAGTCAGTAAGCAGGGAGTCGAGAGGAGAGTGGAATGAGACATGCTTATGAAAACGTTGAAGAAAGATGAAATACAGGTGCCTTTGCAATGATGTTGCTTATTGGTATCGAGCATGTACCCCGTGCATAGAGGCCATGATGACAAAAATGGCAGGTAGGTAGCTCATAAGGAATATCTGGTTACAGCAAGACAATTGTCAGGAGCTCGAGTTATTTTTGGTTTCCCCCTTTCGCCCACCATGCACCCCGTTACCGTACCCTTTCCCTTCCATGCCTATCTTGTCCATCCGCGCATGCCATGCTTGTATGCGTGTGTGTGTGTTGTGTCCGATGAACCCTTTTTGCCAATGATCATGCATGCATGCAGTAAGTAATAGGAAAGGCCCCACAAAGAATTCTCCAGAAACGCCACGCCTGAATCGTTGTTGGTGGGAAAAAGCAGAGAAAGCAGTGCTTTGTCGTCAAATAAAACAGAGGTTAATTAAAAGGAGATATTTCGTTCAGTCGTCATCCGGATGGTTTCGTTGTTATTGTTGTTGACTGGTCGTCGTCATGATCATCATCGTCAACGTCAGCGCCATCTGGGGTATATGAGAAAGAAAAGCAAATCGCGCCTCGATGTTTGTTGTGGAACTCCGTCCCTCCGTCCAGCTATGCTGTAATAGAGATGCAGAGAGGAGATGCGATGTTGTGTGCGCGCAAGGATGCTGATGCTGTTGATGTTGATGATGTCATGTTGACCAAGCAAGAAAGAAAAAATAAAAGAGATGCGAGTCGGGGACATGGCATGGCAACCCATCCTTTTGTCAGCCACCCACTAAGGGCAACGGCGGCTAATGCTGGAGATGGTGGTGGTGCATGCCCATGCCGGTGATCTTCTTCCACCCCTTCTTGACGCTGCGGTTGAATTGGTCCGCGCCGGACTCGCTGCCGCGCGAGCTGGAGCTGGTGGCCGAGATGGCACTGTCCTCACTCGGCCGCCGCGCCATCATGACGGAGCCGCCCGTGGTACCAGCGAGAGCCGATGTGGCGGTGTTGTTATTGTTATTGCTGCCATTGACGTGGCCGATGTTGCCAGCCCCGCCCCTGCCGACGTGGTACACCGGGGCGGCATCGCGCTCCCAGCGCAGCTGCTGCTCGAGTTCCTCGTCGAAGCTGAAGATGGCGCGCTCGGAGCTGGGGACCACGTTGCCCGCGCCGCCACGGCCGGTCGTGAAGGTCTTTCTGGAGCTGGACAGCGTCGACGAAGCTGTCGACGAGAGCGATCCGATCCGCCCGCTGCTGGCGCTGGGCCCGCGACCCCATGCGGAGGAATTGCTCGCCGAGGACCTCACGGCGTTGCCGATACCTCCTCGCCCCGTGGAGATGTAGTGCATGTTGTTGGTCACCGAGGGGTGTGGCTCGACGATGGCGTAGGATCGTGATGTTGATGAGACGGACATTTTTGTGGTGTGTATGTGTTTTGAGTGTGCTTTTGCTTGTTGAACTTGTGTACTTGTTCTTAATTTATCTTCTTCGAAGAAAAGAAAATGACTTCCTTTTTGATTCTGTTGGTGAATGCGATGCTTGTGACCTTCCTTTTATGTCCCCCTTGTGGCGGGTGTTGACCAGAAGTATTTATGATTGGCTATGACGCGTTGGCGGACCGAAAGCCTGAAATGGATTTTTCTATTTGGTTCTCAATTTGGTCGTCAGGTGACAGTCACAAAAAAAGCAAAGAAACTGGTAGTCTCGTTGTTTGGTTGGTTGAGGTATTTTCCCGCACGGTTCAATAGATGACCATGAGCTTCTGTCAAAAGGTACTTTGGTACTTTAGTAAGTAGTAGTAATAGGCAACTTGAGTTCTTGGGAGGGGTTGGTTGGAAATATGAATCCTGTCACGAGTGCTACCCTACACACTAATGGGGACCAGGTGATTATATACAGATCACGGACCACTCTGACAGAGAAAATTTTTTTCTATACGGTCGACAGGGGAACCAGTTGACGCGACGATCCCCAGTCAAGACGCAAGCAAGGGGGAAAGAGGGGACGGGCTGAAGGGACACAGGTCACCGGCAAACAAGAGCACCATAGAGGGCCATGAAACGTGTGAATTCTGGGGCCATTACTCGATAGAAACCCAACACCTTTTCACACTTTGCAGTTAACTGGAAAGTGTCGGCCAAGGTTGAGACAGGCCTGCCGTTAACTGCAAAGCGCGAAGGTGCAAATTTGCAGGTCACGATGGGGTCAAAAGGGCTGATGGCGACACAAAGAAGCGGGAAACTGAACCAAGACTGGCGTCATGAATAAGGAGAAAAATGTGACACGGTAGCATGGTGGATATTTCGAAAGGCAACAAGGAATACCAAGAGGAACCAAAAGTGGTCACGGTGTGGTGCAGGATTGTGCAAGAATAGGTGACGGACAACTGACAAACTGAGGGCTACTTGGATCATGGGCGGAAGCTGCGCGATGGCGAAAGTCTCTCGTGGAAAATTCCTCGGGCGGAGTCTCCGGCGACGTGATAATTGGCTGGACCAAGACGTCAGCTTGACCACGAGATTCGTCCTCCTGTCCAGCTGGGAGAATCCGTTAGTCATGCCCAGCCTCATTTCCACCCATTTCGGCCTGATCCTCCGCCACGCTTGGCCCTCCGAGCAATCTATGGGGTAATCGTCTGGCTTCCAGAGCGGGGACCGTCGTTTCCTGGGGGTAATAGATTGCTTTGTTTCTCCAGTCCTTGGGTGGTGTTTTGATGGTATTCCGGGTGCACCGCTAACCGCTGAAGCCCGGGGCCCCTGACAACAACCCTCGCCTTCTTCCCACAATTCTCCTCTCCCTGTACGAGTATATCCTTTGTTGTCCTCTTGTTCGCTTACTTGTCGTCCTGACAATCCGACACGTGTTTGTCGATTACCCCTGAGAAGGACCGGCACGATCTCGCCCTGGCCATGAACCAGAAGTAAAAATTCGCCTTCGGGTTCCTTGTCCGGTATACCTCGATCCGGATGGTGCTTCCAGAGCCTGTTGACGACCGAGGGCTAGCCCATCCCCGGATTCTCGGCACTTCCCCGCAGTTGTCCAAGACGGTGGCCCAAGGTGTCATGGATCAGCAGGTCCAAAATTGGCCTCTCCATGACGCTGGACATGATGCGTTGATGGCGCGCTGCCGGTAGTGCCTGACACAAAAAGATTTTGTCACTCGTCTTTTTGGTCTCACCGCTAGATGCTCGTCGTTTCGTGAGCCGGTCTCCTACGAAGCGAGTGCGCGAACTCCTAGCCACGATGGCGCGAGCAGCATACCTCTGGGCGATGCTCGATCAAGTGAATTTGGTGTGGATAACGTCCGGGTTCTCATGCCAGTCGTCAATACTAACCCACATCTGGTAAATCGTCATTAGTGATGAGCCAAAGGCGAAAAAATTGGTTGATCACTCACCTTTCTGAACGTGCTCAACCCAGCAAGGATGCTACCGCCAATCCAGGTGCTGTATTTTCGTTCAGGGGGTGCATAGATCTTGATGCGCATGTCCTTGACCGCCAGCCGTTGCATCTCATACAGAAGTCGGTCCGGGAACCCCTTACATAGGGTCGTACCGCCACTGAGGACAACATTGCCGAAAAGGTTTTTGCGAAGGTCCATGTCTGTCCGGTTGATGGCATCCACCACCATTTGATGGATGCCCTGATACTCCAACCCGATCAAATCTGGCTCGAACAAAATCTCGGGAGCTCGAAAACGTTCTGCTCCGATCTTGATCTTCTGTCCATCTGGAAGCACGTACTCAACATCTCTTTTGTCATTCTTCCATATTCCTTGTGACCAATCTTTCTCTTCCTTCCGAGGATCCAGGGCGATGTATGCCGTCTTCTCTTTCATGATTCTGACAATTTCCTTTTCTGCGCTGGTGTGAAAGACATGTCCATTTTTGCGCAGGAGCAGCTGCATGTATTCTGTGATATCTCTTCCTGCCACATCAATTCTCCGTATGCTACTGGGGATCGCAAATCCCTCGTACACCGGAACTGCATGACTGACACCATCTCCGCTATCTAGGACGATACCAGTTGTTCGACCACTGGCATATAAACTCAAAACAGCTTGTATCGACATGTAGATGGCCGGGACATTGAATTGCTCAAATAGGATCTGGGCGGCCGTGTCTCGATTTTGTCTCGGATTCAGGGGTGGCTCTGTGAGCAGGACGGGGTGTTCCTCGCTGAGTGTTTTCAGCTCTTGTTCGTAGACGTATGTCCAGATCTTTTCCATATCATCCCAGTCGGTCACAATACCATGCTCGAGCGGATATTTGATTTTGAGAAGACCTCGTAGTTCCTGTGCTTTAGGGCCGATGAAGACGTCTCCCTCCAGGGCCCCAGCCAGGGCACGAACGTGTTTAGGCCGACCAACGTAGGAAGGGAAATAGGCCGCAGGAAGATCGGTTCCAGCGAAGCCAGCTCGAATGGTGCCGCTCCCGTTGTCCAGCACGAGTGGCACATTGTGCAGGCTTCCACCGTCGGCCATGTCGACCACAACTGTTGCAAGCAAGTAAGGATTGGTTCTCGGGGATATATCTGCCTCAATCACCGCATTATGGCACTGGAGTGGATGTGTTACTAGGAGTCGAAAAATAGGGATCTTGACGAAAGAAGACGCGAGTTCAGTGCCCGAGACGCGGTCAGAGAAAATTCTGCCGCTTTACACCGCCTTTGTAGGATTTGTTCCTCTACCATCAAAGTATCGACTTTCGCCGCACGCAGAAACACCCAACTCAGTACCATCAAGCTCCTGATCTGATAGCCACCACTGAATACGCCTCTATCGCTCTAAGTTTTCAGGCAGAGTCACTACAACAGCCAAAATGCCTAAATATAAGTCCTTACCTCCCCGCGTATGACCATTTGTACTGACATACGCAGCACTCTTTTGCGACTACTGTGATGTCTACCTCACACATGACTCCATGTCTGTACGCAAGGCGCACAATGCTGGTCGAAATCACCTGAGAAACGTTGTGGAATACTATCAGCGTACGTATCAACAGCGCAGCCGAAGCTAGGCAGTGATTAACAAGATCCAGAGATCGGTCATGAAAAGGCACAGTCGGTTATTGACTCGATCACGTCTTCTTACGCTGCCGAAGGACAAGCAAACCCGATGCTACAACAAGCTGCGCCAGGGTTTCCTCCACCTCTCTCTGGATTCCCAGGTATGTTATTCTCGACTTTGGCCCACGACTCTTCTCACTGTATTGACACAGGAATGCCTCCCCCACCATTCGGATTGCCTGGTGTACCGCCGCCAGGTCCAGGGGGAATAGTACCTCCGCCTGGTGGTCGTGGCATGCCATTTCCACCCTTCCCGGCCGCTGGCGCTCCTCCTCCAAACCTCCCCAATGGCTTGCCCTTTCTCCCACCACCTGGAGGATTTCCTCCCAACTTCCAATTTCCTCCAGGGGCGCCAGGCGCTTTCCCACCCCCAGGACAACCAGGTCAGCAAGGGCCACCAGGCGGTCCAAGTCCCACGCCTACTAGTGGCATCAATCAAGGCGGGCCCCCTCCTCCGCCTGGATTCAATGTGGCGCCGGGTGCAAATGAGAACAGGCGATAAGATAAGAACATGAGCAGAAACTTGAGATCAGGCGATATCCTCAACGACTAAGGCACCGATCAAAGACTTATGACGAACGACGTGTTGACCTGATATAAACACCTCGATCAGTCATCGATATCGCTGACTTTCATCCGTGTTAAGACGACGTCAAGCAACTGTACAGCGAGGCATCAGATCGAATTCCGCTTGGACCTGGCAGCTTACTCAACCTCCGACCCAAAGATGCACTTAGCATGAATATTGGTCAGGTGCCTGCATGTGTTGCATGTAGACGTCCGTCATGATTGAAGTCCATGGCCTTACCAAATTGAAAGCCGGTATTTGAAGATGAGCCGACAGCAGCCCACTAGCCGGAGCTTTGTTTGACCCTAGAGAGAGTGGCCCTGGATGAACGGTGGTAACTGCCTTGTCTGGAGAACAAGGTGCTGTTTGGCTGACGAGTGCAACAACATTATCTATGACCCGTAACCGTCTTCTGTTTGTCGCTTCGTGTCACCTCACCTATGGCTTTCGACAACCTCATCGAATTCGCGGAGTATATCATCCCCCCTATTTTTATTGTACTGCTTCTAGCGCTCCTCATCCATTGTATCTTGACCATCCACCGAAACAGTGAGCGTCGCCACTTCCGGTTCGACTCCATCTTATCCGTATCTCAATCCCGGCAGTCTCTTGTCAACCGGAGTGAATCGAATTTTGTGTGAAGGAGATGGCCGAGCGACCAGCGTGTGAGCAAGCCGACCTTGAACGAACCGAAAGTCGCAAAGAAGCACACCAGGCCCAGCACCAGCTGATCGAACACTTTCCTCATCCCTATCTAGAAAATGGCAACTCTACCCCCACCTTATCGGGCTCCAGGATAGCAGCAGCACATCAGGTCCGATCAACAAAGGTGCTCGAACGCATTTCATTCGCACGATCCAAAGGCATTCTAGACCGAGCGGTGGAGCAGGTTGAGAAACGCCGACAAGATGAGCACAGGGCCCAGTCCAAAGCGCGCAAAGACGCAGCCACGCAAGAACGAAAGACACGTCGGGAAGAAGAAAACAGGGCGAAAAGGGAGAAAAGGCAAGAGAGCAGAGACCGAGCGATCCAGAACAAGAAACTCAAGGCAGAAAGAAAGGCACAGGAAAAGCAGGTGCAGGATTACTACGGTATACGAGGCTATGACCCAAGCGCCGGCATGCTTCGCTCTAATCGAGAGAGGGCTGCTCAGCGAACTCCCGACGGTCAAATACAGACTTCTCAGAACATTGACGAAGCGTTGAATTTGAGGCCGCGAAGTAGTCAAACCTGGGGTGTAGAATATGGGAAACCGAAAGAGTCAGGGATTGGACGACACTCTACATCGTGATGGTGGTGACAGCAAGAGGCTCGATACAGTGAGAGTGATTTTCGGGCTGTCCTTTTCCGCATCCTAGGACATCAGCACCCTTTGTTTTTGGAAACAATCTTGTCCGGTATCTAATTCCTCATTGATCATACTGATCATGTCTAGTTCTTTCGTCTGTTGCTCTTCGCCTCAATACTAGCTACCACGCGCCATTTTTACATGGACGGTCAAAGAACAGTTAAGGGACAATGAAATCTACATGAGATTGGGAGGAGGAGCACCGTTTCGTGTAAGCTCTTTGAGTTCATCTTTGACCCCCGTGGGCCAGTCCTCACCAGCTAGCACTCGCTCCGATTCCACTTTAGCTCCACAAAAGCATTTATGAATAGAGCACCATGGCTAGTGGACATGCGCCGACAAGAAGCCCCGATGCAAATGCGCTTCACGCCACAATGATCCTGAATAAGACAGGACGTGATGCTTGCAGTGTCCTCATTTTTTTTCCAACACAAGGCGGCACCCGAACTCTAATAAGAAGCACGGACCTCAGTAGTCCCTCCCGGTCTGGAAAGAGGACTGGTTAAATAGATGTGCTTCAGAAAGTCGATTCTGCGTGACTAACCTTTTTCTTATCGTCAGAAATCTTGGAGCAGTCACTGTTCGTTAACAGATATCTGCGCAGTGTGATGGAATGGTTATCCAGTCGTGGAGAGACCTAAGGACCATCCGAGACCTGTCGACGATTCCTCTTCATATCCAACAGGTGGAAATAAACCTTAACTTGCCGTCGAGTCGATCAATGTATTGCATTCGCCGTTTGTAGCTTCGAATGGCACCTCCTTGGGCCGTCCTGAGGCCTTTGTGCATCGTATCGAACAGTGTCGAAATAGAACATGAGCAAGAGAACAGAGGTTCGGAAGTTTGACATCGTCCAAGAAACGCCCGACCCATGAGTCCGACGTCAGTCGATCTGCCAGCCCATTTCGTCGGCGACCACGTCCTCCAGGCCACGTTTGTACTTCCCTTCTCCGGACCTCAGCGGTGGCCACTGTTTCATCTTCCTCCGTAGATCCTCGACGCTCGCTATCGAGGCCGCGAGATTGTCGAGTTTGCCGTGGATTACGTACTCCTGTTCAGCCAGGGCCTCGGCCAACTCGACTTGGTGGTTGTGCAGAAGCTCGGGGTTTGGGACCACCACGATGGGCACGCTGACGCGAAGGGCGTCAAGGACGGATCCTGAACCGGCGTGGCTGATGACCATTCCCTCATCCTGGGGAGATTGGCCCTTGGCTGCCACCATCTCCCGTCGGAGGCCTTCTTTCTTGAACCCAAAGCCCGTGATCTCAATGCCGTCGTCGAACCCGGCTTCCTTTAGAATCCTGCATCGCTCCTGGAATATCTTCTCGCCTTCGTGGTCGCCATACTGGATTTGGAGTTGTGTGTATCCTGCGTCACGGAGCGGGTTGATGAACGCGGGTTCCAGGACGGCGCGGACCAGACCGTTGAAGGGAGCTGTTGCACCGATTGTCACAAAGCATCGCCTCCCAGACGACTTGCTGGATGATTTCGGATCGCCCATTATCCAAGACACAACATTGACGGATATGACATGGTAGGAAGGGTGAGGGCGACGATGGTGAGGGTGGAGACAAACGTGACAAGACATGACGGAGACTTCGGTGGATCATTTCATGTATATACATATTTACGGTCGACTGTAAAGTTGACAAAATGCAAAATGTGAATTTCGGGGAAATTTATCTGAAGCTCTGTTGGCTCCCCCAATGCGCAGGCTCACAAGATCACAAGATCACAAGATCACAAAGAAACCCAGCAACAATGGCCACCACGGCGCGGCACCTGTGTCGTACATTGTTCCAAGTGAGTCGGCGGATACCTGTGAAGAGAAAATGTCAAGCAGCACAATGCCAGCTCTTCACGCAACGACACAATGTCACAAGCACGAGTGGACAATTTCGCCAGCTTTCGACGACCTTGCCGCGCCGCGCAGATAAACCCCAAAGAACCAGTGCCTTTGACCAGAGCGGAGACGAGGAGGAAGAAGAAGATGACCAAGGCTTGGACTTCAGCCGACCTCCTGAAGGGGGCTACAAAGTCCCCTCGACGCCCATCACCCTCGCCGACCTCGATGCCGATGAACTCGCCGATTTCCAAATGCTCTCGCCCAAGGACCAAGAGTCGTACCTCGCGCTGCAGAATCACTACGCCGCCGAATTCGAAGAAGCTGGGATCAATTTCAATGCCGACCCCAACGCCCAAGATCCGCTGATGGAGAGGCTCGTCGACAGTGTAGACCGCGAGATCGGCAAGGAAGTCGAGCCCCTGGATTTCCCAGATGTTCCCTTGAAGAACAGCGAGGTGGGCTACTGGGCATTGGATGAAGAGGACGACGAATTCACCCAAGTGGAAGATGGCGATGAGGAGTGGGATGAGAGTGCCATTTCGAGTGTTGCGCACAATGAGTTGGACCTACACAGAGAAGTCAGGCAGTATACGCGGGTGATTGCGTGGGATATGCCCTTGTTACAACGCAGGTCTCCCTCTGGTCAGTCCGATCTCGTCATGACACTCTTACTAACTTGGGTCTTGCAGAGTTCGCAAAACCGTTCACACCCCCTACGGAAGCCACGCCTCTCCGGTTCCGCTACACCACGTACATGGGCGAACACCACCCGGCGGCCCGCAAAGTGGTTGTGCAGTTCTGCTCGAAAGACCTGCCGAACCTCACCGAGAAACAGCGCCTCAAACTGCTCAAGCTGGTCGGCCCGCGCTACAATCCGGACACGGACGTGGTCAAGATGTCGTGCGAGACCTACGAGGCTCCCGCGCAGAACAAGCGGTACCTGGGCGACCTGGTCAAGAAGCTGCTGGACGAGGCGCGCAATGGGAAAGATTCGTTCGACGACGTCCCCCTCGACTTGAGACACCACAAGCCGCAGCGGAAGATCGAGTTTCCGGAGACTTGGAAGTTGAAGCCCTCGCGGGTCAGGGAGCTGTTGGTCGCGAGACAGGAGCAGAGGTTGTTGTCGTCAGGCGAGGAGCAATCTTCGACACGGCAGGGCGGGCCAGTCCTCGACGGCAAGGAGCTCGTCCACGAATATGTTCGCGCGCTGGGCAGGCCGGCAGTGCCCTTGAGATAATAACCTACCTGGTCTTTTGTACAAACAACTGGATACAATACGTTGTAGATGTTCCGAATCATTCTTAAACGGCACATTTGTAACACCCTTCCTCGGAGACGGAGGATCTGAACATGCTCGTTTCTTGGAGACGTGAAGTCGAATATTCGTGTGTCTGTCTGTATTCACACCTACTCGATGGGGTGTTTTCACCAAGATGAAAGCAGGAAAAAGAAAAGAAAAAAGTATCTCTGAAGCAAATTCTAAGCACTGCAATACACTTGAAGAAGAAACCCGATGTCAATGTCTGGTTTCAATTTGACTTTGCCCACCCATTTCCAGGCCGTCAAAGCCCTTTGAGAATCCCCCAGCCTTGTTTCTCGGGGGGAAGATCTGATTGTGCCATGACTCTATCCATTCCAGCACGTAGCACGTAGTACCCGGCGCCCAGCAACGTCCTTGACCTGCCCGAAAAAAAAAAAAGAGGGGGGAAAAAAAAAACACACTGTTCATTCCTTGTTGATGCCCATGCTCATGCGCATGCCCGTGAGTTTCTCGCTTGTTTATCCTGCCGTCGTTGTAACCGTCGTCGAAGTAGAAGTAGTAGTAAAAATCTCTGTGTTGTTGTTGTTGCTGTTATTGGTAGTGTCGTTGATGATCATCATCGTTCACAGACCGTTGTTGTTCGAGGGACGCCAGCTCAGGATACTTCGCTGTTTTGCCTGCTGCTTCTTCCGGTTGGTATATTTGCCGCCACCGCCACGGCCTCGTCTCTTTCCGTCTTCAACCACGGTGCTTGATCCACCAGCAGGACTCGCAGGGGTCGGGGTGCTAGGGGCAGGAGCTGGGATAGCAGCTGGAACAGCAACAACCGGAACGGCAGGGACCACAACAGCAGGAGCGGCTACAGTAGTAGCAGTCGTGGTAGCAGGGGTAGTAGCTGAGGCAGTGGTCGGCGCAGCATCAGTGACGGCGTCATCAGCGACACCGGCATCGGTGACAGCGGGAACGGGGGCGACAGCGGGAGCAGCATCAGGGACAGTAGTGGCAGGCGTGGGAGCAGGGGCTCCAGTCGGGACGGCAGCAGCAGGGATCGCAGCATCAGCGACAACAGCCGGGACGACCTTCTCGACCTCCTTGGTGCTCTCAGCCTCTCCGCCCTTGCCCTTGTGGCCAACGTCCAGGGCCGCCTCTCTCGCGGCTTTCTGTTCCTCCTCCCAGCCGGCCTGCTCCTTCTCGCGGATCCTCTCCATTTCCTCGTCCATCATGTCGTCAAGATCGCTATCCAAGTCGGCGGCAAAGGCCGCGGCCAGGTGCACGTCGCGGCGCTCCCTCTCCTCGGCCCTGGCCTTTGCGATGTCCGCCGCGGTCGGACCGGCCGATGGTCGCGGGCGTCTGTCGCCGTATTGTTGTCGGCGGGCCCTCGTGTTGCCGTTGATGTGCGAGGCAATGATGCGCTTGGTGGCTTCCGCGTTTAGACTGGCGCGTTTGACGGGCGGCGCGGGGGGTGCGGGCGGCGGGGCCAGCACGCCCTTGTTGCCGTCGAGGATGCCGTAGCTGAGACCGTTGCGCCCGCCATTGACGCGCAGGCTGCCCACATTGTACGCCTTGCGGTACCAGTCTGGGAGGTCGCGGAAGCCAAGCGCCTCGAGGACCTCGAGCTTCAGTGGCATCACGTGCTTGTACATGCAGCCCTGCTGCGCAAAGTTGCACTCGCCGTGGCGCATCCAGTATGAGCAGTACACTTTCTGACCCGATGGTGGCATGTCCGATTCGGGGTTGGCGAGGGTACTGTTGCTGGCGAGAACGGGCGCAGCCTTGGATCGCCATTCCAGAGGGGTCAAGGGTGCTGTGGTCGTGACCGGGGGGACGTTTGTAGCAGCACTGGTGGGCGGAGTGGTGGCTTGAGATGACTTGATTTCCTCTTCGGTCGAGACATTGGAAGATGAGGCAGTGTTGCTAGGCGCGGAGATAGGCTCATTTCCAGCGATGTCGGCAGCTTTCGACATGGTGGGAGTTGACAGAGTGGTCGAGCGCAGCAAAGGGGCGTAGACAGGGGAATTCACCTTTGACGTATTCGAGATCGGGGTCTCACACGGACGAATTGGGTGCCAGGGAATTGGTTTGGTGTTATTCATGCTTTCGATAACATAGTACTCGTGTCGCGCGTCCCGGACGCCAACGCCGGTCATGCCAGCGGTGTCAAAGGCACTGAGACTTCGAGGAACGCCCTCAACCTGGACATGAATGGGCAGCTCGTCCATGGCGATCAGTGGGACCATGGCGCCATTCTGACGAGTGACAAAGAACTCGGGCCTGAGAGGCTTCCGGGTCGCCATTTCGATCTGTTGGTGAAAGTCTCTCTTTGGCAAGTTGACTGAGATTGACTGAGGTTGACAGAGGCGAGGGGGGCTGGGCTTTCAAGGTACAGGTTGACGTCTGTTGGGTTGGCGTGAGTATATACCACAGCCAAAGCGAAAAAGATTTTTTTGATAACCAAGCACAAGCAAAAAAGAGTTCGTGTGCAGAATGTCTGAGGAGAACAAGAGAAGAATGAAAGAGATTTATAGCAGAGGTGATCAGTGGCAGATATTCACCGCACTGTAGTGAACGCAACGATGTCATCGGCGCGACATTGTCGGCGTAACGCTGTGAATGGTGAATAGTGGCGCGAAGGGAACAATAGAAACCAGCAATACTGACTGTGAAGAACAATTGCAGAATAGATCTGCTAACCGCAATACGACGATCAGCGCGGCCAAGGTGGAAGGATTCGCAAGCAGTGAATTCGATGTAGAGAAGATATAGCACACTCCAATAGAGTAGAACCGTGAGTGACAAGATCTGAAGGGTATTGCGGCGGCGGTTCAGTGATATTGAATACTAGGCATTATATACCTAGTTTTGGATCAGAGCAATCGCGAGTTGGACATCCAACAAACGGTCAAGCCTGAGCAATCTAGCATGTTCAGCTCCTGTTTGTGTGCGTTGTGTGCATGCCGCGTCTGGGTTGTGGTTCAAAGTTGCACACGAGGCGGCTACGCCTAGCGACACGACCAAACAGCGGGCGATTGCATGGTAGACAAGGACACAAGGAAACAATGAAATGATGGACCGTTCAAAGTCAAACTCCCGAACACACCAGCGCTGGCGTCGGCGCCAGTATCAGTATCAGCATCAGCACCATAGAACGTGCGACAAGGTCGTTCACTTCGTCGGTATTCATCTTACCGTCAGGCCTTGATACATACGGCAAGCCGCATCTCTTCGGCTGTTTTTGAATCGGGAATATACCGACACAATCGCCAATGCACCCCTTCACAAAGGAAGCACAAAGGAAGCTGACTTTCCTGTCAAAGAAACACAAAAAGACAGTGAGTTCGTTTTCTTTCTCCGTTTATATCTTCGTGTCGTTCTTTTCATGGATGGATGACGTTGATTTTAGGCAGACGACATAATAAGCAACGAGACGGCCGGCTTTGGTGGAGCAGACGTCGCAGGAAATCCTTGCGCTTGCTCCTTTTTCTGGCCATCCATAGTGGACTTGTGATTGACAGGCTGGACAAGGCTTTCGGATACAGGGACCAACGAGAGGGAAGAGTCAGTGCATGTTGAGGACGGACAAAGATAGTGATCGGTGCCGCCAAAATCCCACGGCTAAACTATAAGGGGCAACTCCGATAAATCCGGATGACTAGCGCCGCGGGCATTCTGAGACACGGATTACTTGAGACTCCTGGTCCGAGACGTCAGGCGTCCCTTTTAACTACCGTAGTTAGTGTGAGCCTTAGTGCTCAGGCGCGCCCAGCCTCTAGCCATACCCAGTAAGTCATGCCTAGCGAGCAGCTTTCCTTTGCGTCTGGCCCGGCTGTTCTAGGTACTTGGGACAGTCCCTAGGACACCCGCAAACGCCCTGCATCGACCACCTGGCAGGCCCTCAAGCACCGCGAAGCTCACTCACGGCCCAACCACAACAACCACTCTCGGGGTCTCGCATCTTATTCCCCTGTCCGATCTCTCGCTCCTGTCGCTCCCGTTTTACCCAGCAGGCCAGTCACCGTACACAAACCAAGTGCCTGCGCCTCACCTTTCCCCGAGTGACCGCTTGAACCAACCTGCTGCCTTCAAACCCTTTGTAACCTGACCTCCTCCCTCATCCGTCAAACGACCATCCGACTCGACTATCCTCCACCCTCCCGAGGTTGAGTTCCATCACTCTCGTTTTTGATCTCATTTCCCTTTTCTTCATTTTTGCGTCCAGCATCTGCCGTCGATACGCGTCCGAGTCCTCTGATTTCCTCGCGATACCATGGCCACCGAGGCCTCGATCGCCCTGACAAACCGCTCTCTCCGGACCATTCGTACTGTGTGTAACCACCCAACCTCCAACCTTTCTCGGATCACCAGATTGACCTTGGATAGGAACTTGAATTTCTCGCCGATACCTCCATCATCTCCCCTGAACAACTCTCCTCCATCCTAGCCCAACTACCGGCCCAGACGCCGTTACATGCTCCTTTACACGCTCCCGTCAATGGCACCTCCAACACTCCTGTCGAGCAATTCTCAAGCATGAGTATGAAAGAGGGATATGCTCCCGTACCTACACCTGCGCCTCTTCCTCCTCCAGCCTACGTTCCACCTCCAATTCTGTCAATTGCATCCGCCCTATACGCATACACACCCACCGATGCTGGAGACCTAGCGCTCCAACAAGGGGATCGGATACAAGTATTGGAACACATGAATAATGATTGTATGTGACGCTCCTTTGAGACATGTTACTTATCTCGATGCTAATGGAAATCTCAGGGTGGAGAGGTCGCAATGAAAGAACCAATCTAGAAGGAATTTTCCCTCGCAGCTACGTCAATGTCATTGAGGACCGACGGCCACCGATGGTTCACTCACAGTCAACCGAGTATGGAAATCTACCCCTTCAGGTCAGCCAGTCAGGGTCTTCCGCCGGCGGTCCGGATGGTCGGAAATACAGCAAGCTCGAAGAGCAAGGCAAGAAATTCGGCAAGAAAATGGGCAATGCTGCCATCTTTGGAGCAGGGGCTACAATTGGCAGCAACATTGTCAACGGCATTTTCTAATGATGGTATTCACGTTCTGATGCTTGATATTTCAGCCTTTGACTTGCAAAGGCTATGGCTATGAACTTTCGTTAGAGTGTCCTCCACAGAGCGGAAGAGCGCACAAGCACTGCAACTGGAGCGAATAATGGGCATTATCTTGAGAAAAAAGAAAATTGGAATCACTTGTTGATGGAGACAGGTGCATGGGCAAATGGCGTCGAGATGGGAGGAAATGGCGTTGATCGTCGGTGTTCGGCTACCGACTTCTTTGGCTACGCTGATTGTCAACAAAAGGAATGGAAAGGGGGCAACGCTCCAACAACCACACATATTATATTCTCTTTTGTCCTTTCGACAGGTCTTCACAGGCCATAACATTCTCCAGCACAATGAGCTTGGCGATTTTGCAACTCAGGAGACGGGCTAGAGTGGTTTCACACAAGTGCCCCTAGGATTGAGAGAGCGAGCAAGGACAGAATGAACTGCAGATCTCATTTTACAGGCCTGACGGGTTCAACCTGTTTGATATGCAGACACATTTCCCGGTACTGCACATATTGTACTTTCGAGAGGTCTGGTATGAAATCAAGAATTCCATATCCATAGTTGTTATCTCCCCCAGACTCTGATCCGTGTTCTCTCCCTCTTAAGACACTGCAAGGACTGTCTTTTTGGAGATTTGTGATCGACCCGTGCTAGAGTCATGCTCGGTCATTAAACCCCAGAGAATATCGGCGTTCCTGACCCGAATCTTTGGAAATGGGATTCACTTGCCCAGAGGCGCGCCTAAACGATATGCCGACCTCGATCTCGGTAACTGAGCTCCAGGTCACTCTGGCCAAAAATCCATCAAGAAGTTGTATATCCATCATGGACGCTGCGAGAGCCGGTTCTTCATCCTCGAGATAAGTCGAGAGCAAGCTGAGCTTCTGCCCTCACCCTCGATGTGGTCTGTTGTCCGAATATATTTGTTCCCAAAGTCGAAATCTCTTTCAGTCGTCTTCTCTTTGTGGTGGCGGTCCGCTTGCCCTGATCATCTTTTCAATCATCTGTCCTCTCACGATCTCCTTGTTCTCTCCTAATCCGAGGGCCATGTAGGCAAGCAGAGGAGGGTGACCGACATAACTGGCGAGGGAGTCCCGGACGATGTTCTGGCTCCATTCGTAGCGGGTGGTGTCGGCGTGACCCGTGCCCACGTATTTGGCCTGGAGAGATTCGAGTTGTTGGAGAGTGCGCAGTTTATCGGCCATGGTGAGGGACAGAGGGTAGGTGGGGAAAAATGTGATGCAGAAAGATATCCGACAGGTAAAGTAATTGCTATTACTCGTTGTGCTTGTTGTGCTTGGTGTCAAGATGCTTTGTGTCGAAGGACTCTAACGCCGGAAAACGACAGCCGATCCGGGATACTACTCGTAGGAGGCAAGCGATATCGGAGCCCTTGCCGCGCTCGCTCCCATATTACTCACTTTTTAATTATTCCGCCGCCAACCACACCTGCGCCCTTACAAAACACCCCACGTCCCAGAGATGTCCCATCGAATCAGAGTTGTACCAATTCCGCCTATGTTCATCCTCGGCTGTTGGTCCATCTCGTCATCGGCTGTGCAATCACAAGATGCGTTATCCGATGGAGCCTCATGAGGGGTGCCCACCAGAGCAACAGCAAGCCGAGCCATCGGCGCCCTTCGCATCGTGCAAACTTGGTGAATTGTCGAGGTAACGGCCCAGAATTGCTTTCAAGGTTGACCTGAACTTGTCGGTCTGCTCACCCGGACCTCACATCGTCTTATATACCTGCGCCTCCCGTTCCTTTATCTAGCTTTTCTCCCCTACCCACATGAATTCTCTCCGGATCGCGCTGGTGGGCAGCGCTGGAAGATCCACTCTCTCGAACCGCTCTCTATATTTTCCTTCCTCCTTTCTCTCATCCAAAATGGCGCCCTCAGCATCGAACAGACTCGCCGCCGAAACACGCAGACTGGGAACGCCGCAGAGCCAAAATCGCACCATGTCCTCAGGCCCAGCAAAGATCAAGGTCAAGAATCCCGTCGTGGAACTCGACGGCGATGAAATGACACGGATAATCTGGCAAGACATCAAGGACAAGTTCATCTACCCGTACCTGGACATTGACTTGAAGTACTACGACTTGGGATTGCCCTACAGAGATGAGACGGACGATCAAGTCACGGTGGACGCTGCCGAGGCCATCAAGAAGTATTCTGTGGGTGTCAAGTGTGCGACGATCACTCCAGATGAGGCCAGAGTTGAAGAATTTCACTTGAAGAAAAGTATGATACCGAACCCCTCCACAGGCTCTTGATCTGTTACTAAATGTCCTGGCAGTGTGGCTCTCTCCTAATGGTACGATCCGGAATATTCTTGGTGGCACCGTCTTCCGCGAGCCCATCGTGATCCCTCGAATTCCTCGCCTCGTTCCCGGGTGGGAGCAGCCGATCATCATTGGTCGTCACGCGTTTGGGGATCAATATCGCGCCAAGGACACAGTCTATCGTGAAGAAGGCACGCTCGAGATGGTATTCACACCCAAAAGTGGAGGCGCAGCGCAAAAGATCAAGGTCTTTGATTTCCCCGCAACCGGCGGCGTTGCCCAGACACAGTACAACACCGATGATTCGATCAGAGGATTCGCGCATGCGAGTTTCAAATTCGCTCTTGACCGAGGCTACCCCCTCTACATGTCTACCAAGAACACGATTCTGAAGGCTTATGACGGACGTTTCAAGGATATATTCCAAGAAATCTACGAGAAGGACTATGCCAAAGAATTTGAGGCCAAGAAGATCTGGTACGAACATCGCCTGATCGATGATATGGTTGCGCAGATGATCAAGAGCACTGGAGGCTTTGTGATTGCCATGAAGAACTACGACGGAGATGTACAGAGCGATATTGTGGCTCAGGGCTTTGGGTCATTGGGCTTGATGACCAGCCAGCTGATTACCCCTGATGGTTTGACGTTTGAGAGCGAGGCTGCACACGGCACTGTTACACGGCACTACAGAGAGCATCAGAAGGGAAGAGAGACCAGCACTAACCCAATTGCCAGCATTTTCGCATGGACCAGAGGATTAGTCAAGCGCGGACAACTTGACGAGACTCCGGAGTTGGTGACTTGGGCGGAGAATCTGGAGAAGGCTGTCATCCAGACGGTCAATGACGACGGAATCATGACCAAGGATCTTGCTTTGGCATGTGGCCGCAAGGACCGTGAAGCGTGGGTTACCACGACTCAATTCATGGAGGCCATCGAGAGACGGTTCAAGAAGAATCTGGCGTCTGAGGGCTTGTGAGACGTGGCCAAGGCATAAAAGCCCGGGCGGAAATGCTGTGGCACAACAGCTGGCGGATCCGCAAAGTCGATAGAGCACATTGCAGCGAAAAGGCGACAACAAAGACGGAATGCATAGACGACTAAAGACGGCGAAAAAGACATGTGGCCAGCAATGCAATGCAGGAGTCGGCATAGAGTCTGTCTGATCTATCAATCAATCAGTCAATCAGTTTTTCCGTTGCGAGGGTTTGAACTTTGGATAGGAAGAGACGCATCTATCTAGCATTCAGTCAGTACTTGCTTGTCACAACGAGTCGATAGATTGAACCCAATAAAATCAACTAAAATCAAATATCAAGAACAATTTTCAAAAAACCCCAGAATATTCACATTCATATCATCCTCAAAGCGCACTACCTCTATACATCCCCTATTGTTTTCCCTGCAAAAGTGTTAAGATTTATTCCTATGTCTACTTTGTTTCTGTTTGCCGCAAGTCTTGTTCTCTCGCTCTGCGCTGTTCGCATTATGCGCGAATCGAGTGGTTTTTCGGCGCGTGGGAAATAAAGACGTACGTACAGGGGCGGTGTGTACACCTTGCCATGAGAAGTCGACCTGCAGAAGGGTTGGGTGGTAGAGGTAGAGTATCGTCCTTTTGCTCCTGCTTCACTCTTCCCCCTTTTCGTTCCTGATAAGATAGATGACAAAGTCACTGACAGATATCACGGGACGAGGGAAGGTCTGATGTGAATTTGTGGAATGCTCATGACAACAATTCCACACGAGTCTATTTTTTGTTACTCCTTGGACCAGAGCCACAAAGCCATAATCTAACCGAGCCGAACCAAACAGAACCTCTCTATCAATGACACCCCTTCTGACAAGGGCAAACCAAGGGCAAACCCGGAAGTTTGACAGAGAAACAAGCAAGCATACTGACAGACGCCTGAGTCGGCGATGGGCCGTGACAATAAGCCTTCTCGAACAGGGTTCCTTCTCGAACAGCAGCACAACCACAGATATCTCTTCGAGCAGGTGAGTCGATGTGCTCTATAAAATATTCCACGAGAAGGCCCGTGCGGTGGAACGTCCATGTGGACGCTTATTTTCACCCTTGCTGTCCCCTTCTGTCGTCTTGAGATCCCACCACTTCAATTCCTCGCCCCTGATGTCGATGTTGTCTCTTTACGCCCAAGTCCTGGCGCTCGATATGGATGATCACTTCTTCTTTGCAGGTGCGTTTCTCGGGCTCCCTATGTCATTCCCCGTCAAGTTGATTTTCATGAAATTTTCCAGTTTCCGAATGGCATTGGCGTCGTAGAGAGCTTTGCCGCTCTCGATGTCTTTCAGCAGCGCCTCTTTGACTCCTGACTTGGTGGCAAGGTCCTTCTGAGGCATCCCTTTGCCCTGGGCGTCCTTGTTCTGGTTCCGCCAGTTGATGATAGCACGTCCTACCGGAAGCGGGACGGTTTTGGGTTTTATGATGTCGTCGGAACGGTCGACCTTGGTCAAGTGTTGACCCTCGACACTCGATTTCTACGAGGTTTCGGTGTTAGCCATGATTTATCTTGTGTCTAAAGGAGTTGCCACATACACTGTTGGAACCTCCATACTTCTTTTCTGTTGCAACGACGGCTCCGGAACGCTTGGCTGCGTTGAGGGCAGAGGAGCCCCTCACCACCCGTTCACGGTCGACACCTCCACTGCCAGGGCCCCTGGCTTTGCTACCGATACGGGTGACGGTATCCCAGTCATTGTCAGCCATGGTGTTGGAACGTTCAGGTACGTATAAGGTGCTTTCGTGGGCTGCGGCTACTTCGGTCGACGAACTATACAGAGGACAGCTTTCAAAGCAATTGGTATGCCCTATACAAGTGAGCAGTCGGGGTGTATGACCAGCTGTGAGAGGAATTGATTGACCTTGTTGATTATAGAGGAGAAAATGAGTCGAGTTGACAATCTAGAAGTTGCCATTCCCGCCGCAGCCATTTCATTTGCGCAGGCCGAGCTGCGGCTAGAGCCAGATTGAGTCATCGTTCCTGCGCCACAGGCCAAGACCCGGACTTTGTCCGTCCTCCGCTCGGCCTGCGTCTGGGATCCTGAGATTCTGGCATTTTGGGCGGCAAGGCTTGCATCAAAAGTCTGAGCAAACGCCTAGTTTCAATCGATTCGCCACAAATGCAAAACTGCGATTAGCCTGAGCGGCTGCAACTAGGCTCCTGGGCCAGCAATAGGCAATCAAAACGGGACAGCACAGGCAGCGTTTAGGTGTTGTCTAGGATTTCCTGGCCTTTGCCGCCGAGTGCAGCGCCATCGTCTCACACTGGCCTGATATCAACCGAGCAGGAGTTTCAGATCGTCCAACCGCGCGATTCGCTAGATCGTGCGATCAAACGATCAGCATGGGTGGTCACGGCACTTACCCTCCACTACCCCTGCGAGCTCTGCATGCCCTGGTAGCTGAACACCCTCAAGTAAGTACATAGCCCCTGCACAACCTGAAACCCCAGGCTGGGAATGAACGGCGAGCAAAGCGGCTTCCTTGACTGCTAGTCCTGCATAAATCCGCATGTCTTCTGCCTGGGAACCTTGCGCAAATAGCTACATGATGGCATTACAGTACACCTGCAGTTGCTACAGCATCCTTACTGGCGAAGGTGAATCATATGTTCGCCCTGAGTCCTATCTCTTGGAGTATTGACCCACGATTTCCCTTTCCACCGGAAGTCTCCTGGTCTGGTCTCCTAAAAAGGCCATAGAGAAAGCAAGGTGCAATATTTGCCGCCTGAGGAGCTCTATAGCCTCATCACAAATCTCTCCTTTGAGGTTTCTGAGGACGAGATTCAGGACTCCGTTGACCGAACCGAACCAACATCCCGTCCATCCTAGCCTGTGTTAATATATTCACATATTTTCGACACCGCCGCTCAACATCTGGAGTGCCCAAGATGCCGGCGTACGGTGGTTTTCAGTTTGCACTGGAGCTTTCAAACGTCCTCCCTCTCAGGCAGCTTGCGGCTTCCACATACGAAATGCTACTCAACATGGCTCGCGAGCTTCAAAACTCGGGTTCTGGTATAGTTGTTGAGGCTGACCTGGCAAGCATCTTTGGTCGGAGTCGTGTTTCCCTTGAACTGGAAAAGGCCTTCAAGACCAAAGTCCACATTAGCAAGATCACTCCACTACGTGAGGGCTCAGAAATTCAGCTGCGAACCGGCCCCGGCCCAACAGTGACACGAGCGTTTGAGGATACGCAATATTTTGCGACTATAGTCACTCTATCAGCACTGTGCTACTTTATCCCGAGGGAAAATCTTGCCAGAATGATCGCCAGTGCGATGCTAACGCGATACGAAGCTGGAGTCCCAGGGGCAGACAAGCCTCCTCCGTACGCAGACATTGAAAGCACATTAGCGGCTTGCTGTACTCAATGTGGCGAGTTTCAGTGGGAGCCATATCGTGCAGAGATTGAGAAGCGGCTTCGAGTGTCAATGCAAGATTATAGCTGGAGCTCCTACTATACACGACTCACGCCTGCGGCGATCATGGGAGCCATGGACTTCTTCTATGCTGTCAAACATGAGCCATCACGCAGAATAGTCACAATCTCCTCTCAAGCCGGATTTATTCCTCTGACTATCTGGGCTCATTACATTTTGAGCCTCGATGTTATTATCACTGGTCTTCCTGGTGAAGACGTTGTCTTCGGGAATGCGGAGCGGCCACACGTTTTCATCCGCTGGAGGAGCTCTGACCTTCCTGATAGGGAAGAGCTGAATTGGAGCCAGGAGGGGGATGAAGACGGCCCTGAAGTCTGCCTCCATGAGACAGACATGACCATTCTTCTGATCTCGAAACCAGAAGACCACGACTCTGACAGCCTATACTCGGCCGAGAGGCACACATTGGCAGGTTATGGCACGGTCTTCTTGCGTCGCAGTTTGAACGTTGATATAATTATAAGCGATGATGACGATATCTATGGGGAGTTGGTAGCCCTGATAGTTGGATTCGCAACCGCCGCTTCACAGAGAATGGCCCGGGAGCTGCCAGATCCTGTACCGCAGGGACCGGACGAAATCGAAAAGACTGGGCAAATAATACGACTGGAAGCATGGAGATTGACGAGCGCTGCCAAGTTGCTCTTCGACGGCATTACCATCGACTTGGTCCTTTGCTGGAACTACGCTATGTTTTTCTCGGAACACCCCTTATCTGAATCCAGGCTGCCTGCAAACTTTGATTCATTCTTTGCACGAGTCCCAAGCCACCGTCCTCAGTTCTCTGCGGCAGCGCGAATGGTACGACTCATTGAAAACGCCGCAAAGCTTGTGTTGATCTTCGCCCATGTCGTGGAGGTAGACAAATGTGGGGACATGCCACTGATAATGACCGACGATATTGCCTCCTTCACGAACCTCATACGTGAGGTTCGGAAGGAAGATGGTCATCTGGGCCTGATTCGATGGGATGAGGTATTCGATGGGGTATCTAGACTGCTCTCATCTACCAAATCCTTGTCTCAGGACAAGACACGCCGTTTTGCCGCCGCCGAATTCCTCTGCAGCGACTTTGGATGGTCTGTGCTTCTGAACACGTATGGGGAGCTCGACCCAGGCGATATTCAGCCTGAGTTCGTCCGCATTCGCAAAGGTACACCCACACATTCAAAAACACAGGAACGCAAGTTGCGAATTGTCGATAGGAGTATTGCTGAAAGGAGTGCAAAGTCATATGTCTTTCCTATTGAGAGGGGACTAGAGTACACACCCCGCACATTTGCGAAGAGCACTTCCATGAAGGAGTACTATACGACTCTTTCGCGCGAGTTCCAAGTCGTTCTTATCATTTCATTCGAATCGACTAGTGAGTGGCAGGAGCATGGCGGTTCCAAATCCTTCGAGCAAAACCTGGCCTACGGCAGAATGGCTGAGCATTTGTTCAACACCCATCTCATTCCAGAATGCAGCCACATAAACAAGAACCACTGGGAGCATACAAGGAAGATCAAGCTCGGTCCAGATGCGGTTGCAATGCTCAGTGGATTCGAAGAACTGGAGGATGGTATAACCCTGCCGGAGAGGATAGTTATCGCACTGACGAGGGGTGATTCCTACATCCGCTGGCATGCGATTATACGTTTGGCGTCCGAGGTATACCAGTCGAGGCGGAAGATAGCACTACGGTCGCATTCATGTTGCGAGCCCTGTGCTCTTGACTTTGTAGCTTCACAACCAGGGAAGTGGTACCTCATTCTGTAGTTGTTGATCGAGTCGTCTGAAGTCAAGTTGTGGGTTTGTTCCAGTGTGGAAGTCTGGGTCAGGAACGTCGGCCGTTGTCACGTTATGAGACTGTCTCGTCTTGGAATTCATGTAATAACCACACCATAACGGTTCCTCCTGTTTTATGTTGCGCCGTCATAGTCTTCAACTTTGAGCGTCATGACCCCGCAAACCTGCTCGGTACGGATTTTGGATGATCATTTGGTTTTGGATTTTGCAAGCTGGCCACTGATGCGATGGTATATAGTCAAAAAAATAAGGGATTTAGGATATACATGCCATTTATCGGAAGCCACACCACGGCAGGACTGCTGGATGATTTCCTGGGGACTTGGACCTTCTCGTGATTCACCCCCAGTATGCTGCTTCGTGGCATCGGGCGTTGCAGCTCGTGCATACAACGAACGCCTCCCGCCGAGCGGAAGATACAAGGACGCCGACTCCCCGTGCAGATTTACAATCCTCGCCCTGACAAGTGAGCGTCTCACATTTTTAATCTGGGCAACCAGAACCAACCAACGACACTGTCGTCGACGCACGACGGAAAAGATAAACGGGCGTTCTCGACTTGTCGGGCACAAAGAGCAAAGAATATATCCAAATGGGGCGCTAATAGCGCCTCGAGGTTCATGCTCCTAAACAGGAAATTCTTTAGGGGAGCCAATCACAGCGGGTGGCCTGGGATGACTAACGACACGAGTGGGTTGGGACAACGGGCACGACGGAGGTATTTGCAGCCAGCCAGCCATCCGTCACGTCACAAGCATCAAGAACGAAGAAACGCCTCTTGTCTCGTAATCAAGTTCGTGTCTTCCATTCCAGGTTGACGTGCTTGTCAAGCATGGCAGAATGTGAGGGTTTTACAGTAGTGGGTAGTTCGGTTAGTTGGATTGTTAGGACGGGAGGGAAACAGGGAGGAGGATTCAGAGGATATATAAGAGATGGCATCCCCTCGTGTCAAGGACCATGCTTTCAATTCAGTATCATTCAAATACTTGCGAGTCCGTAAAAACAGTCTATTCGTCCATTCCACCAGCCCGAAACTACCCACCCCGAATCAAAACCACTTCGTCCAACAATGGCCACCTACGAAACCGCCGAGGACAAATTCGTCACCGTCCACGGGATCAAGCACGCCTACCGCCAATTCGGCCAGACCAGCGGCACGCCGCTGTTCCTCCACGTCCACTTCCGCGGCAACATGGACTGGTGGGACCCGGTCTTCGTCAACGACCTCGCGGCCCGGCGGCCGATCCTGCTGGTCGACAACACAGGCGTGGGCCGCAGCGAGGGCGAAGTCGGGACCACGTTCGCCGCGTGGGCGCAGACCATCATCGACGTGGCCGCCGCGCTGGAGATTCCCAAGCTCGACGTCCTGGGTTTCTCCATGGGCGGCTTCGTCGCGCAGCGCATGGCGTTGCAGGCGCCGAGCCTGGTGCGTCGACTGGTCGTGGCCGGCGCGGGCCCTTCGGCCGGCGAGGGCGTCGTGGGCGGCGACCCGAAGCATTTCACCGAAGTGGCCAGCGCAGCGACGCCCGCCAAGTCGAACCTGGGCCTGATGCACACGTTCTTCTCGCCGTCGGCGGCGAAACAGGCCCTGGCCGCGTCGTGGATCGAGCGCATGGAGAAGTCTCGCGCGCACCGCGCCCCGCTGCTCGACGCGGCGGGCACTTCGCGACAGGTCGCCGCCGTGCAGCGCTGGTTCTCGGGCGAGTTCCGCGACGAGGGCGCGTTCGACCAGCTCGACCGGCTCGCCGCGACGCCCACGCTCGTGGCCAACGGCTCAAACGACCTGCTCGTCCCCACGGAGAACAGCATCGTACTGTGGCGGCGCCTCACCGCCGGCGGGTGCGACGCCTCCCTGCACCTGTACCCGGACTCGGGCCACGGGTTTTTGGACGAGTACAACACGCATTTTGCGCGGTTGGTCAATGATTTCTTGGACGAGTAGTCACGACCGAGGCAGATGGGTGCTTGGGAGGAGAAATCTGAAAAAGAAAAGGAAAGGGATGAGAGTGGAAGAGGGGGAGTGAGTGACTGAGTAGTTAGATGAGTGATGCGACATGTGTTCAAGTGCTAGTGTGTGTCTTGAAAGGGGAATTTGATAGATTGCTGCCTTTTATCCAACTAGTTTAAACAGATGATGTGGTATGTTACCATCTTTCACAAAATCTGCTTCCTGATGGGCTTGTCCCAGCTGGTCTGAGCTATATTTCTGCTCCTCCACTCGCCAAAGAGTTATGGAAGCCCCCTGTGCGATATCCTTGACTGACGCCTCTCATCTCATTCACCTCAACTTCGCGTCTTCTGCCCAGATGCTGAAATGGGCTAATTCCCGACCTCTCGACTTCACAATGCATTCGCCATAGGGCCCAGTTCCTCCTTGTACCTCCATTATCTTCAATCACGTGTGGTTCCATGTCCAAAGCCAAAGTCAATCAGAACGGCGCCCGTGGACTTGAGTCATCGGGCCTCGATTAGAGAGCCCCGGACAACAGATATACTCTCGAGTCAGCAGAGGATGCGGACGGTACTACCAGTCCTCAAACTCTTCCTTGTACCGTTCAAGTACCAGTTCATGTTCGGATATCATATGCCCGAAAGCGAGGCCGAGGCAGAAAAGAAGCTTCCTGCATGTCGGGTCCGACCGTGAAGCGCTTTGGGAACTTGACTTGGGGATGGTCTCCGTGTTGACGTGGCTGCCACCGCCACGGACACAAAAAAGTCTTGATCAACTCGAGGTCCCAGAGCGTTCGCTGAGACCGTTGTTGATCATCGTGATGCTCCAACCCCAGGGTGTCGTCAAAGACATAGCTCCAGCGGATGTTCTCGATTCCCGGCACGCATCCAAAACTGTATATCGTCCTGGCGAGTGCAAAGGACTGCCGGCGAATGCAAGTGATCGAAGCCCGGAATCTAGCACGGGCGGTGAAGGTCGTGTAGGCCACGTCGAGTTTCGTTAGAGACTTGTGGACCATCGTGCACGCCTCGTCGAGGGACTCGTGCAGACTGGGGGCAAATGTCACCACGATCTCGTTCCACATGGTGAGAGGCAACCGAAGTACTTTCCCCAAGGGGGAGTTGAGAATATCATCGGGTGTCTTCAAGGCGTGGCACTGGCAGTGCTTCCCGCTTTTTATGTCGATGCGCAGAGGGAAGCGTTTTGTGAAGAACAAGATCAGGCTCCTGATGGTGCGGGAGGTTTGTAGGAGAGATTTGATGGTTAGGGGACAGGTGCCGCCGTCCGAGTCGGTGGATATCACCACTCCGTGTTTGGGGATCAAGTAGCTCAACACATGTAAGATGATCTCGTCTGGAAGGTGGTATCTTGGTGAATAATTGTCGTGACTGGCTTGGTAATATTCTCTCTGATATCGATCGTTAAGAGGAGGTGCCTGGGCGTGCATTGAGAGAGAAGGGGGAGAGGACATGATGACATCCATTGTCGGCTTCAGGTGAGAGTAGGTTGAGAGATGTCTGAAGATAGTTCGAGTGACTTGGTGTTTATTCACCTTGTGGAATCGGGAGTACTGTAGAGAGACAAGTTGACTGATCAGAGACGTCTTGGGCATACCAACCCCCCGTGGTCTGGCCGTTCTTAAATAATGAGATCGCATCGAGTCCAAAGGGGGAGTCAAGGTCCTCGAGGTCCTCGAAGTCCTCAAGGACTTGCAGAACCGGCCCAATTTCAGGGCGGCACTTTGGGTAAGGCGACGGCCCAGGAAACCCAGTGTTGAAAGCACCAACATAGCGGATTCTCGAAACGGTAACCAGTCATATTGTTGCGGTACCAACTGGCTCGAGTCGTTGGTTGCGGATGGTGTCGATTGTTCCAAAGGGTCGAAGTGGGTGGAAGTTTGGTTCAGGGACAAACGGTGGATTTCTGCGGACAAGGCTGGAGTCTATCATTCTCGGCGAGGACCTCGATCTTTCTCTTATACATGGTACTGTCTTCCCCCTCAAACATGGCCGCAACTCAGACAGATACTTCACGATCCTCACATAGGCATAGAATAATACCTCGTGAAAGATCAGCATCAGCATCCGCATCGACATGGATATGAACCTCAGCATGCAGACCAGGGCTGTCCCTTCCTCAAACGACACCGGGATGGATGACGTCGGGGGCATCACAAAGTCGTGCAGGCTGGGTATATACCAGCACCTCCCGGATGAAATTCTGCTGCAAATCGTCTTGAACTTGATCCCTCGCGACGGCCTCTGTGTGTCGAATCACCCGGACCACAACTCGGATTTCGCCACGATCGCATCCCTTTTGCGCGTCAACCGAGCGATTCACGATGAAATGCTGCGTCGCATATTCAACCTCCCATTACATGTTCACATTCTGAGCGGTGGCCACTGTCGTTGCCTCTTCGGGACGCCGCCTTTCCCCAAGACGCTCTTGGGCAGGGTCGCCGTCCTCCAACTGAGAAGATTTTCCGAGCTCGTGGTGACGTTTGTACCTCAGGTACTCACGGCGCCGTGCGGGAACCGAATCCAGACGCCATGGCCCGTCGATTCGCTCACGGGCGAGAGAGGCGCGCGGAAATTCCGACTCGACATACGGTGCATCGCACGCCAGTCTGACGACCTCGCCGAAGCGTTGGTCAGACACCCCGACGTCCGATCTGGAGCCTCCTCTCGCTTCAGGTTCAGGTTCGATGGGTCCAAGGGGGTCGACGAAGCGAACAGGTTGAGGGAAATACCTCTGTGGGAGATCGAGCCGCTCCAGGTGATGCTGGACAAGTGGCGTCGGGTTGCTACTCCGATGGGCACAGTTCCGCGACATCAGATAGACATGCCCGAGAGTCTCGTGACTGGAGTCGTTGCGGTCTTCAAGCTGCACGAAGGTCGTCTCACGAGTGTACATCCTCTAGGCGAGTGCTCGAACGCCGTCGCTCGCTGCTGGAAGGGTTTCTGGCTAGGCTTCAGATTTGAGCTACCTCTACACATTGACGAGAGACCGTGGCGCTCGCGCTTATTCAACCGTCGCTTCATCATCACCACGAGAAGCAGGACCGGGGCGAGTGGGGATGAGCCGCAGCTTGAAGCGGAAGCCTTTGTGCAAGGAACGCTGTCGTTCTGATCGGAGCCACCGACGTGAACAATGGGGAGGATCAAGCACTGATGAACTGTCTTGGAGGGGTTTTTTTTTTTCTTTTTTTTAGGTCAGGCTGCAAAGGGAGTGTCCCTCTGAAACTCCCACTGACCAGCACCCGATGTTCCAGGGATGCGTCGATAGCCCAAGACTCCTTGGATGAATGCAAGGACCAGGGTCACGTTGACGACGGCCTGTCTTTGATGGTAGTCGAAAGGCTCAATGGTCAATGAGTCGCGAAACAGGCCGAGGCCAAAGTTCGACTCGTTCAGCTTGATGCGCAAGTACGGGATCTGGGGCGGTCGTTTAGCCGAGCTGCTCAAACGAAAGAGCGAAAGAGAATATGGGTTTCTAGAGGAATAGCTTGCACACTTACCTTGCGGACGTCTTGAGGATCCGTCTTGGTCCACCGCTGCAAATACTCTGCCAATAGCCGCAGACTGGGTTCATGCGTGCCGTTGACTGTTAGCTTACTCTGGCCTCCCGAGGACACCAGCATCACGTAGGGGCTTGTGGTGCGGAAGAGGATCTCCGGTCTAGGCAGCGTCTCCAGTGCGGGTAAGACATCGGTGCTCGGTTCCAGTGGAGCTGGATATGGCACAACGCGGTTCGCCGTCGTGCTGATGCTGGTGCTTTTGGTTGTATCTGCCACCGATTCCAGTTCTGCCCAGTCTTCGTCATCTTCCCGAATTTCTGGGTGCTGGTTCTCTGCTTCCGGCTTGTTGGATGGGGTAGAGGAGTTGCAATTTGGAGGGTCAAACATGGACTCAAAGTCTTCTGCGAAAGCCGGGCCAGCCGTCTGAAGCGTGGTTTGCAGCCTGGTGGTTTTGGGCAGCGAGATGGTGAACGATGTTGATTTCGGCCTTAACCAGGCTGTCCGGACTCTGGAGTCACCGGCAGTAACCTGAGCCCGCCGTACATACATACTCAGCTAACATCTTCCAACCATCGTCCCGTGTCTGTCTTGAAGGTCGCACTGGGGGAAGAACATACTTGGATAGAAAACTTGACAGCATTGACTGTTTTGAGGTTTTCGAGAAAGACTTCGGTCCAGGATGCAAATCGCGCGTCTTCTAGCCTCTTGCCCAGAGTATCGCACCACGTCTCCACCAGTTTGGCGACGGTGGGGACGAACGTCGTCTTGTCGGGGCACACAGGCTCCAGCTCCACCCACAGCATGTGCCACTCTGCCGTGCACGCGACATGGTAGCCTATGATGTCTTTGAGAGAGGCGATGGATCTCTGCACGGCGCTGTCCTCGTTGTCGAAGAGGTCGCGGATGTCTTTTCGGATTTGCAGGGGTCTGCGATGGACGGTCAGTTTGATCATCCAGATACTCTGTCGGCACGAGGTGGATGAGTATATGGATGTCCTCGTGAACTTACAATTGAGCCATGGTCTGCAGTTTGGGAGAGGGAAGATGCTATCCGAGGAAAGTTGTTTGGTATATTGACATTAATTCAGTAGACATCTCGTCCACTTTTTATGCGGAGGGCCGATCAGATAGAAAATGCCTTGGTTCAATCTAGAGGGCGACCAGGGAAGCAAAAAAAAAAGGGGGTGAGGGACACATTCAGCCTTGCGCCCGTTTTACCGAATGCGGACGCCGGTGGATTTTCTGGATTCTTGGCTCTGGAACTCGTCGTCTCCACCTCTTTACCGAATCCTGTTTGATATGTCCTTGTAGTTCTTGCTGTGAGAGACCAGAATCTGTTCTTATATCAATTGACTGCAGCATGGAGCTTGTAATCTCTCTAGACAGAGCACCCTCCCCGGGGCAAAAACTATCATGTTCCTCACCACCACGTCCCCATCCTTCGTACCACCGCAAATTTGGACCCCACGAAAAGGCCCCAAACTCACGAGCTCTGTATCCGCCGTGCCGCCTCGCCGCCTCGACTAGCTCTACTCCCCAAACTCGCCGAGGCTCGCTCGCTTCTGGGCGACCTTGGCTAGCGCAGCACGGCTCCGAGTGGTTGGGTACAAGAAACCTCAAACGGTCGGAGTCCACCCTACGCCACAGGGGAAGACCACCTTCACTATCGCAGCCATACGAGGTACGAGGGTACACTCTCCCCAATCTCTCATCTCTCACCGGCCTGTCGAGAGGCAAGCCACCAAGAAGGCTGTTCCCGCGCGTACATGTAGTACCAGAGAGTATAAAGGGGCGATGACCCCTCTCACCGTGGGTGAAATGGAAGGTCCTCAATCTAGAGAAATACCATTGCCTTACACAACAAATAATGCCTCTCAAAGCACCTGCTGACAAGCTGCCGCTGGCGGTCCGCAAGAATGGTAACGACCGACACAATCCCAAGGCCCTAAGCTACACAAGCTCCTAACTGACCAATTGTGCAGTGCGGGACGAGTGGGAGAGCAAGAAGTCCGAGATCGAGGCCCGGATCTCGAAGACTCTGGGGGAGGCATGGACGGTGACCACGAACCCCAATCTGCTGTACGTGTACACGGACGACGAGTCGTACAAGTCCCGCATCGGGACTATCATCATGTGGTAAGTCAGAGCTCTCTGCGGTCTTTGCCAGCTCGTACTCCATTCCACCGTCCATCCCAACGTCCAAGAAATGACAGCTCTTGGACGATGATCGGGAGTTCATCAATAAAAAAAAACCACCAGACTAAAGTGAGCCTCGTGCTTCGCAAACAGGTACATGGAACCGTTCTGCTCGAACCTCGAATCCTTCGTGGCCACGTACGGCGATGACGGGAAATCCGAGCTCAACACACTCTGCCCCAAGCACCAGGTGGAACTAGCCCCGCAGGAGGACGACACGAAGTTCACGTACGGCGGGCTGCAGATCAAGGACGGCGTGCTGCGGCTGCTATTCGCCGAAGGATACCTGGCTGCCAACGTCAGCGACGTGAGCCGGGACTTTAACGACGCTCTGACAAAGGCCGCCGCGGCAGGTGGTGGCGCCGGCAGCAGCGGTAGTGGTAGCAGCTCCGCGTTCAACATCAACGCGCGGCAGTCGGTGCGCGAGTCGTACGACCCGAAGGTCGCCGACCTCCAACAAGCCATCGGCGCGCTGGTCGGCGTGCCGGACATCCTCCTCAACGCCAACTTCGAGGCCAACGCGGCCGTCCTCGCCGCCGCAGGCGCCCAGGTCCGCGCCGACTGGGACCGGATCCTCGGCCGCGTCAGCCTCGACTACTTCGACGGGCTCAAGTACCAGCTCGAGCGGGCCGGGTTCAAGGACGACGACATGCTCCAAGAGGGGTTCCAGGAGGCCGTCACAAAGCGCGAGATCCTGCTGCGCGTCGTCGACAAGCTGCAAAAGGGCACCTACCACGAGGTTCTAGTCGAGGACGGCGTGCTCGTCATCCAAGTAAGTCGAGAGAGATCTCCCTTTCCCTGCTTCTCCCATCACCCTTCCCACCTGTCTTGTTTTTTTGCTCTCTTCCGCCCATGGGCGATTTATAGCCTCAAGAACACACCGTGTAACTAATCAAACGTGTTGAAACTGCAGACCACGCCGGGATACCTCTGGAGCAATGTGTCCGATGTTGGCAGCGAGATTTTGGACATTTTGTGAACCCCTCCTTCTCTGCCTTTTGTAGGAATGGAAAAGTTTCCACGTACGCCATCCATGGACATGGACATGGACATGGATTCGGGTCTTATCTATGTCGACACTCTTCATACCTCCTCCGGTACATCCATCTAAACAATACTGAACATGGTTTGATTGGAAAGAATCGAGAGGATCCAAGTGAACCCTACTTCATGTAGTCCAGTCTGTTCGTATCAGTGAAAAAGAAGAGGGAGGAAAAGAAAGTCAAGGGGTTATTGCTGTGGTGCTTTTCGTGTCATGTAATAGCCTACACATAGTCTTGCCCATGCACGGTCGTGGCGCGGGATAAAAAGACTCATATTGTACATATACGTCCCATGAAGATCGCCTGCGAGGATACATATATCTCTACATGACATTGTATGTGGCTGAGCCAGTGATAAATCGTGGAATACGATCCGATATCCGATATGACCGCCGCTAAATCATTGTATCGTCTCTTCAAAAAGAAAAAAAAAGGGGAAGAGGTTCAGTACCCAACATCACAATCCTGCTTCCGGCAAACCCGTTCTCATCACACGGTGAATAGAAACACCGCTTAAACAATGGTTATTGTCCCATTCTCCACGCCCTCGAGGTACTCTCTCAGCCCGACGCCCCAGCGGCTGTGGCCAATAGTGGGGAGGTCCATGTCCGCAGGGCAGGACGGGATGGGCTGCCATTTCGAGCGGTCATTCGCGTCACTGTCTGATGTCTGATTTGCGTTCTCTGTGCCTTTTTCACCTTCCCCGCTGTCATTGTCAGGCAGGTTCAGCTTGGGTTCTTCGTGGTTTCCTCCCTCTCCCGATCCGCCGTGCCGCTTATCCTTGCTCAAAACGGATCTTTTGGCGTTCCTCGATCTGTCTGCGTCATCATGGTCATCATCGAGAGGAACCTTGTCGACCTTGATAAGCACAGGAATCACAGCTCCGGTGCCCAGACTGAACTGCCGGTGGTTCAACACCCTCAACAGAGCACCGATCGCACCAGAGTGACTGGTTATGCTGAGCCTCTCTTTGCCGCCAATCAGCTCGTGCTGGTCCATGAGACTGTCCATAAAAGCTCTCAGGCGCTCTGTCAAGGCCGTGTCTGGTTCCCGTCGGTCCGGATCCCAGAACTCATCTGTTTCCGTCAGATACTGGTCCAGGTCGACGTTGAAGGTCGGGAACCGTTGGCGGATGCGTGAAACATCGCTCCGTCTGTCGCACGTGTGGATGCCGGTACCTTCCCTCAACTTCTCCATCACGATGGCCTCCAACTTGGCTCCACCTGGTAGTATGCCATCAAATGTGATGTCGGCGGTCTCCATCGCCCTATCGAGGGGACTCGCCAGCCACAATTCCGGCAAACTCATCTTCTGCTCGGCGAGTTGTCTTGTCCAGAACGAATTGACCTCCCTCGCTTGTCTCTGTCCTTCCTTTGACAGATGAGCGTCGCTCCAGGTCATTATCCCGTCCGGGTCGCCATCCAGCGCTGAATAGTGGCAGTCCCACGCCTCGCCACCATAGTAGCGCTCGGCGATGTTGTGGTAGCCGTTTCCATGCCGGCCGAGGAACAGAAGTAGATACCTCGCCGAGGACCCGTGGCGTTTTCTGTTTCTCCTGTCGTCATCTCCGTCGTCGTCGTCGTCATCGTCGTCCTGCGCAGCGCGGTTCAATGAAGAAATATGGTGCTCGAACCTCTGCCACACCGTCATGTCCCGTCCGTTGTCAGGGAGCGACTCGTCCGAGTTGTACTCCCGGTCGATGAGGCCAAAGTTTGTGGCCATGAAGTCGAAATCTGCGGCGACCGTCGAGAGATCGTCTTGGAGGAAGTACCCATCCAGTGTTGTGTATTTGTAGGCATATCTTGTCTGCGCCGAGGGCCGCGCGGGTTCCTTCTCTTGTCCAATGTCCTCCTTTCCACCATCACCACCGGCGCCGCCTCCGTTATCGTTGTGAATGTCGAGCACGCCCTGGCCGGAGGACGAGAGGAGGGAGACGCCCATGTCGCTCATTTCAAGCAGGCCGCACACGGCGAGGGAGACGGTGAGGAACAGGAGGATTTGTCTGAAACAGGGTTACCGCGTTAGCCTTGTCCGCCACGCAACCTGATAATGTGTTGTATAGCTTCTTTCTTGGGATTGAAGGAAGGCGAACAAGATGCCCGCAGAGACGTATCCACAACTGACTTACATGGCGGTGGTGGTGCGGCAGAGTCGAGTGGGCCCTCTCCACCGGCGATGCACTTTGCGGTGTGGTGAGTAGTATATCATCCTGGTCGGGGTATCACAGACATGTCATGTTGGCGGACCCTTTTTTGCAAAAGGTCTGAGTGCGAACGGTAATTTCACATATAGGATGCACCAACGATTCAAAAGAAAGCGGAGCGGAGCGGCAATGGGCATCAGATCCAGGCTGCGGTGGAAGCGAGGATTAGCCGATCAGCATTTGGCGGGGAATTGACCACACATGACAAAATCTCATCTGGCTTGTACGGGGCGTCAATAAACCCGGCATAGAAGCAGTCTGAACTCCGGATGCAGATTTGACAGGCAAGGCTTCAATTTAATCTAGAGAGTTGATGCTTTGAGGGGATAGAAGCGACAACCTGAGTCTCGAAATCTTACAGGGAACCAAATAGAGGTGGTACATTGTTAATTGTCCAGGGCCCTCATCGTCTCACATCACTTGGGCGTCTGTTTGCCTAGTCACCAAACCGAGCTTACCCTTACAAGCAAGACTGCGTCTACTTAGCAGCCTCCCTATCCGCAGGTAACCATTTCGAGTACCCTGTACGGTAGGTAAACACCTAGGGCCCCGACCAACCGTAGCTGAACCAGCAAGTGACCCCTTAACTTCATTAGCCTCGTCAAGGGCATCTGTCATTTTATCTGTAACATCCAGCCTCCCGCCTCATCGTCCATATCTGACACCGACACTTCAGAGGCATCAAAAAACTCACAACACTTTTATCTTCCATACAATGGCTGAACGGCACCATATCACCTTGATTAACGTCTCACATTACTGCTAATGAGGTGATAAAGGCAGCGACAAGGGGCCGAATCTTATTCTGGGCCCTGGATTGAATGATCGCCGCTCCATCGTGAAGCGGACGAGCGATACCACTGGCAGTTGGCAGTCCTTCGGTGGCAGTAGCGGTGATTGTCGGCGACTGGGGGGCAGGCAGAATGGAGACATCTGGGTAGGTGGCGGGTGGATTGGTCTCATTGACCAGGAGAGAGTACATGACTTCCAGTGCCGAGAGCTGTTGACCCAGCCCGGTTGTACCATCCCACCCCTCAATGTACCACTTACTGCCACATGTATTGTTCTCTCCACCTCCCGTACATGATGCTGCTGCACCTTGAGCGGAGGCTCGAAGCACCTCACCAATTCGACCTGCCGAGAAAGGCGCCAACTTCGACGTCGCGGCCATCCACCGAATGAGATAGGCCTTCATTGACAGCTGGTCGACATTGCAGGACATGGAGAGCTCGCATTGCGCCTCGAACAGGATGTTGGATGCATTGCGAAAGGGACTGATGAAAGTATTGGTTGAGTCGAGAAGGCCTGCGGTCCGCTCGATCCAAGGTGAAGATCCGTTGGTGTAGTTCTGCAGCACTGCCGCGCCGTACAAGAAGACGCCAACATTGTAAGTCCATTGATGGTGGTCAATGCCGGTACAGTTGATAGTTTCATCAGTCCCGTCAAAGACATTGTAGATATTGTCCACCAGGCCGATTGCCGATGCCCAATCCCAGATCGTGTCCGCCCAAAGTACATATGTTTGGTTGCCTGTAAACCTGGCCAGCCTCGCCGAGAGCTGAAAGAATGCGCCGTTGGAGACGCTGTTCTTGTAGTAGTAGCCTGCGTTCTGAGGATTGAACTGCCATTTCAACCCTCCGTTGCATCTTGAAGAATTCCAGCGCGTAACATAATCTTCCCAAGCATTGCTGACAATCCGCACCCAGGATGGGTAGGGAGCAGGCAATTGAGGGAAGGAATATTCGGCCGCGGACATGGCCACAAAGACCCAGAAGGCTTGGTCATCGTTTCCGGTGTCGAAGGCTTCGGCAGGAACGTTGAAGTCATATTTGGGGCCAAGTTGAGCAATGAGTCCTTCTTGCGTGAGATTGACATAGCTGTCGTCGCCGGTGTAATGCCAGTATTCCATCAACCCACCCCATGCGCCGCCACTCTCCCACCAGTAGTAGGGCGGAAAGGGCCATTTTCCTAGAGTTCCCCCGGGTTGATTGCCGTTATACAGGTCAATTACGCCTCGAGCGGTCAGAGCGGCCGCCTCCAGAATGGATTCTATCCATAGTCAGCAGAGAGAAGTGGAATGGATGAGACTTGAATCAGACTCACGTGTATCATCAACATCAAGGACGATGCTAGCAACATCCCGTGCCAGGAAAGAAAGGAGACCGATGGCCACAAGGATCAAGAATTGAAGCATTCTGCACGATGTGCAGGGGGTTCACTGAGAGATGAGATGGACTGCCCGAAGTTGATAGCGCCGACCAGAAGACAATTCAATGAGAGACACGAAAGGCAACAGTTACAAACGCCTGGTAGCTTGGTCTGCTGAAGGAGTGACACGAAAAAATCTCGAAAGAATCCAAATCAAAGTGAATCAACCTGCTCGGGCGGCGATAGAAATTGCCTGCGCTTCCATTTCTGATTTGAAAACAATCAGGTTCACATTGGATGGCACCACCTTATCGCCCAGTTGTATCTTGATCTCATCTTTGCGTCTGCATGTCCTTTCTCTGCAAAATCCATTATTGGCCTCAGATATAAGGCAGACATCGTCAAAAGTGTTGAATATTGCCACACAACTCAGGACTTTTCTTTGGAGTCGATACTATTGCGCAATACAACACCCGCCGCGTTTGACAATTGGTAGGGATTTTTGCTGCAGGGTTCACACATTGAGACACATCATAGGGTGTGTGCCAGAGAGATCGTCCTGCACGTTGCCGCTGCACGGCATCTTTCCTCCTCCACGATTCGAGTTCAGTTGTCGCAATCGAGATCAATCTCGCAGATTCACCGAGCCAAGGCATCTCTTCCTTGTCTACATCTCCATCTTGCCAATAGTTTCATGTTATTGCGATACCGTCGTTGCAGGCGTGGTATCTTGGAGTCGGACGTCAAGAATAACATGTGGGTGATTCAGTGTCATCAGCTGTCAGGACATACATGATCAAATTGTGCATATGCAGGGAGGAACTCAAGCTCGTCCCACCCAGTGAACCAAACAAAATGCTGCACTGCGCAGAGCGGGGATTTTAGCAGGTTCAGGACTGCGTCTGGACCCCGTTTGTGGCTTCTTTGTAGCATCTAGAAGCGAGCCTCCTCCGCAGGCGTTACAATAGCTGACCGCAGCAAAACATTTTGGCTCTTTCCATGGAGATATGGGTTCATCCGACCTACTCCAACGTAACCCGAGATAGAAATCACTCCACGCTTCGGAAGTTTTCCGCCTATCCCAGGCAAGTTTACCACAAAGCTCGGCTTTATTCAGCAAACCTTAGCAGCGTCCAACTAGGTCTCACTTGAACAGGGGACAAATGCCAATTTGGGAAAACGCACAAACCACTGCAGATGGGCTTTCCCATCTAGTGATATAAAGCCGTCGGTCTTGGATCGCTGAAGATGTTCAACTCAAACTTTACGCTCTTTGTCATTTGAGTTGGTTGCAGAAAGAAGATGGTTGATCTTCAGCTCTCTCCTGAGCAATTGGGACTCCGAAATGCTGTCAAGGGTTGGGCAAAGGCGAACCTCACTACAGCACGCTCGGTATATGAGGGTAAAGGTGCCTCGCCGGGACAATGGCAGGAACGCTTCCGCTCAACGCAGCCGATATATGCCGAAGCAGTCAAGGCTGGACTCATCAAGGCTCAAATTCCGAAAGAGCTTGGTGGTGGAGGTGGTCCATTGATAGAGGCAGCTTTGGTTGTCGAGGAGTTTTATGCCGTCGAAACTAGCGCCTCTATAAACATCCTTGGGACTGGCCTTGGCTTGACCCCGTTGATCATGGCGGGGAGCCCAAGTCAACATGAGAAGTTCTTCAAACCATTTTTGGACGGCACCGGTACTCCAATGGCCAGTCTGGTCTTTTCTGAACCTGAGGGTAGCGCCAATTTCGCCGAGGCTGGAGCACCCGGTTTTCAGACCACCGCACATGTTGAAGGGGACCAATATGTTATCAGTGGTGAAAAGGTGAGTGCCCTGAATTCAGAGGAGAGCCTTGCTGATGGGGACAAAGATCTGGGCAACAAACTGTTCCGGGTGGGATGATCGAGGCGCCGACGTTCAGTGCGTCGTATGCCGTGTTATTGGATCTGCCCCAGCCGACGACGTCCGTGGCCAGACGGCCATCATTATCGTGACCAAACAAGACATTGCGGCCAATGACCCAAGTGCCTATCAGGTTCTCAACCATCCTCAAACGATTGGGCACACAGCTGTTAATGGGCCGCATATCCGGTTCAAGGACTTGCGGGTGCCAAAATCAAACTTGCTCGCACCTCCTGGCAAGGGTGCTGATGTGGTCGAAATGACCTTTACCGCGTCGGCAGTTCTCGTGGGTGCAATGGGCGTGGGCATCATGCGGCAAACCTTTGATCGAGCTTTAGCCTGGGCCAAAGCTGAGAAGCGAGGGTCAACGGAGACGATGATCCAAAAGCAGAGCGTGGCAGACTTGTTGATCAAGATCAAAACTCGATGTGAAGCCACACGAGCTCTCGTTTGGAAGGCAGCGCATTGCTTCGGTCGGACGCGACACGGAGCCGAGCTGTGCTACGAAGCCAAGATTTTTGGTTCAGAGAGCGCAGTAGAGTCAGTCATGGATGCGATCAGTCTGGTTGGTATTTCTGCATATTCGACCAAGCAGCCATTCGGGCACCTGCTGAACGACGCATTGGCTCTGCCGATTTTCGACGGCGGTAATGTCGGCGTTCGGAGGAGACAGATTGAAAGGATCTTTGCCGGCGAGGGATACGATGCATGGGAGACAACATTCGGATCGGAGCAGTGAGTTGGCACTATACATGGAAACCGGATCATGGACGAGGTAGGTAGAGGGAATCACCGACGGTAGCCAGTGTGTAAGTGAATGAGTGCGGAATGAGGCGTATGCCTCCGAATGCCTGGATTAGCGTCGGCGAGCAGCGCATGCACTCCACATAGCTTTTTCAAATGACACGTCAAGGTGCCATGAATGACATAATCACTTGGCATTATTCGAGTGTGACGAGTGACCGAGGAACCTCGCACGCCTTGTCACCTTGCGTCGCTCGTAAGCGTCAAGGCCTGACCAGTTCCACCAACGCTGTAGCTGCCCTAGGCTTGTTTCAAATTATTCCTGAGTCCGAGGGACAAGCTCTATCACAATCGCTCGAGTCCGAGGGATAAGGTCAATCGCAATCACAGTGACAACCACCCTCTGCGACACACACCTCCTTATGCAGATATCGCATCGTCCACTTACCGCCTTTCTCCGAAGTGATTACCACCCCAAGTAGCTGCATCAAGAACTATGCCGAAGGCCCAGAAAGGGGCTCTTCTCCAGTGTGATCCGCCCCAGATGGCAATGGTGCGGAAGATCGACCGAGAGTCCGGCCACGCCTACATCCTGGAGGAAATCGACGATAGGACCTGCTTGGTCAAGGAGAACAAGGTGGAGGAAATCAAAGCCAAGGTGAAGGAGTTGATGGATGCGGCTATGGGAATGGATGAAGACGACAACGACGACAAGGACAGCGACCTCGATTGAATACAACTCACCAAGGTCCCTTTCTCATCGCAAAGCATCTCGCTTCAACCTTGTCTCCATGAATGCCACCTCATAGGGGACGCGGAAGTTGGTCTTGCCAACTATGAAAGAGCGGGAAACAGGTCACACTATTGCTTTGACCAGGGCGGTCGGAGGATGGCACATGATGTACATAGGATGATCTCTCGGATTTAGGATTCCTAAAGTTGCAACAGCAGCACAATCCTTACGCTCGCGTGCCCGAGGGCAGTCAAATATGAACAAGAATGAACGGCTTACCGCGCAGCCGCGTACTCCAGGGCGTATCAACCAAGCAAGGATGTCGTGGATGGTCCGCCAACGGTGGGGACATTTTTCTACGACCAAAGAGAGCGCAAGCACGGGGATTACCAACCCGAAGCACGAGTTTGTTTGAGACTGATCGTCCTCTTTGGTGATATTCTTTTCTCTTTTCAAGGATCGAGTATTCGTAGTAACGCCAATCTTTTGGAGAAGATGATATTTGTGGATTCGGGGGAACAAAACCAACAAGTCAAACCTCCACCGGGAGTGGGGACTAAGTTTGAGTGAGGCAGACACTGCAGAGCATGATGCCACGCGGATGTAGGCGACTCAGCATGCAGAGAGTCAGTAAATGACGAAAATGGGAAGGCGATCGGGAGGAGACGTAGACGAGTGGGTGCGGAGCCCATCTGAAAGGCAGGTCTCAGCGATATGCAGGCTGAATAAGAAGTTAGCAGGGAGCAGCCGATCGAGGTTTGTACCTTTTGGGCAGGGGACAGGAATGCCCTAATGCAGCGTATGCGGCATGACGAAGGAATGCGGATAGAGTCGCCCTGGGGTGGATGATGGTGGTGGTGGCGGCACGCTCAGCTCTGAAGGGGTTTGCTCTATATCGCTACCGAGGAGTCTATGGCCGCCTGGAGAGATGGAACAAACTAGATGGGGTTAGAGAACACGCGTGGGAGGGGAAGATGGAGGTCCTGGTAGTGGGCTTGATGCAAGTGTTGTTGTGCAGGGATGGCTTAGATACCAGGGGGGAAGAGGAAATCCTTGCCGGCGGCGGGGCTATCGGGGGATGAAATGGTGTGCATGGACCTTTTGAAGGTATGATGAAAGCTATAAGAGAGCGTGTCGGGTACAAGAGGAACTACCCAGGACAAGTAACAGGGTCTGTAGTAGCGTGCCTGCGTACCTGGGAGGGCGACCTGGGTACGGACTATATCTAGCGAGGTACATCTGTGGGAAGGTGGAGGAAGGGTGCAAGGGGATCTACCATGTGCAGCGGCGTTTGGACCAAAATGTAAGCTTGATGGAGAGCAGGATTTGAACAGTACTACCATAGATATTGCCACGAGAAGTGTTCTACGAGTCGAGTCCTCGGTAATAGTTGGAAGTGAAGGAGAAAGAGGAAGTGAGAAATTCGGTGAAAGTGAACAAAGAGTAACATATGGATTGAGACTGACTGGGCTGCAACTTCCATCTGCCACCTGCCACTTGCTTTTCCTCGATGCAAACTGCACCTGCACCTGCACCTGCCGCCTGCGTCCCCAACCTATTATGCACCAATCATCAACCCGGCGTCTGTCTCTTTCTCCTTCCCTCGTTCACCATCTCCTTACTTACTCTTACTCTAATCACTTGTGTGCCTGATGCACTTCCTGAATGCTGCCTGC